TATTAACAGGGGTGAAAAGATTTCACCATATTTCCCCCACCCTGTCCGCCGTACACTGGCTACCTATTCACTTTAGCATTGATTTCAAGGTGTTAACCATTACATATAAAGCCCTTAATGGTTTAGGACCTCGATACCTGGCAGAGCGCCGCCTTCTGCCCAGTTCTACCCATATCACCTTCTCCGGTCAGGCTGGGCGGCTGAGGAGCCTAAAGCCAAGAGAGGCCCAGTTGGAAAAAAACAGAAATTGGGCCTTCTCTGCAGTGGCCCCTCGGCTCTGGAACAACTTATCTGTTGAGATCCGCCTGGCTCCCTCGCTGAGGGCCTTCAAGATTGATTTGAAGACATGGTTATGCAGGCAGGCCTTCCCTATAGCCATTACCTAGCCTTTCTCCCCCTTTTTTCCCCCTTTTCTCTCCATCTTCTTTTTTCCCCTCTTTCTTTTTTCCTTTCCCATCTTGGTTTAATCTGGATTTTATCTTAGTTTATTTTTTATATTATATGTAAACCACCCAGAGTAGATCCGTTCTAGATGGGCAGTATATAAATCTAATCAGTCAATCAATCAATCCTTGAAAGCACAATAGACCATTGAGTTCTCAAGTAGAGGTCAGGCAGATACCTCTAGAGAGTCACAAATGCAGCATGGAAAGGCCTGGTTGTTGGGGACGGCCGGGTGTGTGTGTGTGTGTGTCTCTGAAAGTGCACATGGCTGGAATCCCCTGGGAAAGATCTGTCCTCTGTGCAGACACATAGTGAGTGTTGCTGCTGGATAGCTCAGTGAGTTAGGGATCCAGAGGTTGCGTGTTCAGTCTCGCACTGTGCCTCCTTGACAGGAGCTGGACTCAGTGATCCAGATGGTCCCTTCCAGCTCTACAGTTCTAAGATCCATCTGGAGAATTGGTGCTTTGCAGGAATTATGCTGTTCTTCAAAACAGCATTTTTGGCATAGTGTACAGTACTGCTTTTAAGTTAATGTTCACATTGACACACAGCAGGGAAATTTATTCAGCTTCTGTTTTTTACTTAGGACTGGAGAGAGTTCCTACAGAGCTTGCTTTTCATTTCATTCTTCTTATACTGAGGTATGTGTATCATACTTATTTTAGTAATATGGGATTTACAGTATACAATAGTTATTATACATAGCTGGATGCACTTTCTAAGGTGTTTTCTGCCTTGTCACAAGCACTCTGGGCTTGTAAAAGTATATTAATGATAATAACAATGATGCCTGCAGTACTTCATTGTCTTCAAAGCTCTTCACCTCTATTGGCCGGAAACCTTTGTCTCTGAGTAATAAAAGGTTAGGCCTGTGCAAATTTGCCACAAGGATGGTGCAGTTTGATTGTAGAATCAGTTGCATGGTTCCTCTTGTGACTAACTGTGCAATGTGCCAGTGGAAGTGCTTTGCACATAGCACTTCTGCCTTGCTGCAGTTAGAACTACTGCTTCCATATTGAGCTATGCAAGCATAGCTGCTCAGTAAGAGTTCTGCTGTTACCTTTGTAATCCTGGCAGTAGCTCTTTCAAGTGGGCTGCTATTATTGTCTCCATATTGCAGATGAGATCTGAGGGAGAGAAGATGGGGCATGCCTGGCTGAACTATTATTTCTGTGGCCAAGATGACACTTGAGTCAGAAATGTCCAGGCACATAGTTCACACCTGGTTGCTGGCTTGGAGGGTCAACGGTTGTATCCTTACTGCTTTGTACAGTGAACATTAAAAAAAACAGCAGTCATTTGAGGACTATTTGAAGTCCATTAACAAGCTTGTAGGGTCAAGCTTGAAATATTCAAAGGGAACAAAGATGTTCCCTTTGAATATTTCAAGCTTGACCCTACAAGCTTGTTAATGGACTTCAAGTAGTCCTCAAATGACTGCTGTTTTTTTTTAATGTTCACTGTACAAAGCAGTAAGGATACTTTTTCTGGTTGAACTATCTAATTTTCCTTTCACTTACGTAGAAGACAATACGAAGTATGTCCCTAACCACATTTTGTACAGTGTGAGTCTTTTGAGCAGTCTTTTGGGGCTCAATACCACTCATATGGAACTGACAGCTAAATTGTGCTGTGTGGTATGTTCTGTAATAGTTCTGCCATGCTATCAGTCCTCTACAAAAATGAATGGCTCCACCCCATGAGCACAAATAGAATGGTGTGGTGGAAAATATTGGAACTGGAAAATATGAGTCTGTTGTTTAATCGTGTCCGACTCTTTGTGACCCCATGGACCAGAGCACGCCATGCTCTCCTGTCTTCCACTGACTAAATGTGAGTTATTTGCCACTTTATCTGCAAACTCACTGAATGTTCTTCGGTTGATCATTGTCTCACTGGTTTGTTTGTTTGTTTTTTGGCATAAAATCAAAAGTTGAAATTCCACGAAAAGAATGGTAAAGTTTTGAATGTGGACAGTAATTTTTCTATTCTGTTGTCTAGATCAAGGATTTCATAAGCTATATTTGCCCAGTGACTGTGTATCCCAATGTAATTCCAATTGGTAGAACAGAGGAAAAAGTTATAGAAATGTAAGTATCTTGTTTTTGTCTCATTTCTTCCCCCCCCCTTGCTATATTTAGAGCAACAGCTTTAAAATCAAGTTAGGTATGTTAGTCATCTGTTACCACTGTCAATTATAGTTTTATTTAGTCACAGCCATTGAGATAAATTGCTTCAGAATGAAATCTCAATTTTTTAAAATTAGTTTTTTCACTGGGATGTTGGATCTTCCTCTAATATACCATCAACATTAACCTAGTTTCCAACATAAACACTGACAGATTGGTGGGCATCTTCACTATTATAATGGAGCCCTGGTGTTTCTGTTCTCTGGTAGCTTTGGGTGAGGGGAGTTATTTTCAGGAGCTGAAGATAGTTTAGAGAGGCACATGTATGACTGCTTTTTCTTTGGTTGGGTTTGAACACGTCTTTTCAGTCCTACAACTTCCTGGATGAGTGTAAAGCACAACAACGCTAATGTGCTGAAATTTTCAAGAGGAAGAAAGTAATGTTCTAGAGGTACGAAGAATTGAAGAGTTCTCTGTTTCTTTTCAGTTTAAAGCCACTGTGTCGCATGTACAGCAAAAATAACAAGCCACAATATAAACCACTTGGTGCACTGAAGAGGCCCAGAACCTTCAAGCTGACAAACACAGGTAGGAAATCTCTTGTTATTCCATTTAGAGCCAGAGAGAAATGGCACAGGGTAACAAGCTTGGAGCCAGTGAATCATTCTTATAAAACAATTCTATCATCTGTGTAACTTACCTATATTTTAAAAGCTATATCCCCATTCTCCCTTTCCTGTAATAAGCATCAATGACTGAAGTTGTTTATCACCATATGTATTTTTTCTCACAATAAATCTTTGAAGAAGACTAGGAAATTACTACCCAAAGATCATCTGGTTGAATTAATGGCTCTTCGAATGAAGAACCTGAATCTGGCTTTCCCAGTACACTTTTCTAGGGAGTTTAGAACCACAATACATCCTGCACAGTTAGTTGTCCCTGATTTTTCAAACTCTGGGTGTATTGATTAAGGAAGTGTTTGTTTGAACTGGTGCCTACAGATGGGTGCTAAATTAATTCTACAATGAAACTGGATTAAAAAAAATCAGCCACTGTGATTGATGCTGCGTAACATCTGATGTGAAGTAATAATTTCATCCAAAATAATTTGCTTCAGAGTAAATATCCTAGAAGTGGCAGACTAAGGTTATTTATGAGAAACAGAATGTGATACAATGAATTTGTCTTTACTGTAGGCCACAAGGGAGTTCTCTCAAGAAGGGATGTTCTATTTCAGTTTTTGAAAAATACCTTTTTTGTGTCAAATAATGACACTGTGCAAAAGGCTCTAACCTAGTATTTTCCGTATGCAGGGAAACATTTTACCATGTTAAGTTGCCTCAACAACTGTCATCTGAAGTAGCACAATCTGAAATACTGTTTTGCCATCTACTGTATGTTGTCTGACCTACACAGCCTGGATTGTACAAAGGAGCAATTTATTTGAAAGCTTATCTAATGCAAAACAGTTGCATGTAAATAATTAGCCCATCTGGGAGTAATATTTTAGGCAACTGATAACTCAGTATTTGAGATTTATGTTTCAAAATGGGTTTGAAGGCATATGCAGATTACTGTATTTTTCGTACCATAAGACACTTTTTTCCCACAAAACAGGGGGGTGGAAAGTCTGTGCGTCTTATGGAGTGAAGAAAACAGATTATATTTTCCTGTTTTCTTCTCCTAAAAATTGGTGCGTCTTATGGAAAGGTGCGTCTTATGGAGCGAAAAATACGGTAAATAGCTTCTCGTCTTGCGATCTTAAGTATGATTTGGCTTTTTTTGCCTTGACAGGTGGTGATGGTAGTGATGATGATCTCTTTGACACTGAACTGATTCCTGCAAGATACAAAATTCCTAAACTGCTGCCAGAGATTGCATCTTCTAAGAACAAACAATTCCATGAAGACCATGAAGAAGAGAGGGACAAAACAATTAGTTGCTGTAAGGCATCTTTCATGCCTACCTCTTTAAATGTAGATTTTGTGGAGTGTGAGGAATCCAATGGGGAGGATGAAGAAGAGGAGGAAGAAGAATCTGAGAAAGAGATTATTTGCCCTGATGGTCTACCACTGAGTACAGAGTCTACCATTCTTTTGCCAAATCCGGTAGGATTGGCCCATTCAGAACTCATCTGCAAACCAAATGAAGACCAACAACAACCTGATTTAGAAGTGCCAAAATGGGATGCCTTCTTTAAACATAAGATGGAGGATACAGATACCTCTGAACATGACAGTTTTCTGCCCCCAACAGATTCAAGCAAGGCTCAGTCCCCAAGCCTCTTTAGTGACAATGAGGACTTCAGTGATTCTACTCATATCTCTTCTCAAAACTCTTCCCAGTCAACACATATATCTGAACAAGGTAGTCAAGGGTGGGACAGCCAAGCAGACACCATGCTCATCTCATCTCAAGAGCGAAAGAGTCTTAACTCTCCTAAAAGGACAGTGGACAGAACAGTATTTTACACATCTCATTTCTCTGCTGGGGAAAGCAAAATGGACTTACAGAACTGCAAGTCTGCTGAACATGGTGGCCCTTCTTCTAACAATGTTAACTATGAATGTAAAGCCAGATTCCTGGAGAGAAGCGCATCTGCCCTGAACAGTGCATGGACTGAATCTGGTCACAAGAAGGACAAGCAGGAAGAAGGATTATGGACATCTAATCCTTGTGCTCAGATAGATTCAGAGAGCAGTTCTGACTTTGAAATCCCGTCTACTCCTGATGCAGACCCCCCTAAACCAGACGAACTCGGTCGTCTGTACAAAAAGCTGGCAGCAGGGGAAAGTTTATAATAGTGGGAGGGACAAGTAATGGGAATTCAGTTTCCCCACCCCCCAGTACTCTTAAATCATATCCTGTTGCTTTGCAATTTGAGTCAATGACCTTGAAACATTCATCTAATATTTGATTTGCGCTCTGGTAATTCTATCTTGTATATAAAACTCTGATAATTTTTACAACGTGACTGCCTGCCATTTAATAAGAAATTACTGCATTCACCAATGCAAAACTTTGAGAAAAGTGAACCAGAAGCACTGGTAATTTAGAGTAAATAACTAAAAACACATTTGAGATGTGGTTTATCAAAAGTAAAAAAGAGCAAAAAGAAAATACACTCTAACAAGGGATATGATAATCTGTATAACTACCTCCGTAGCCTGAACTAAATATGGTAATTATGTGGTTGTAAAACAACTTCAAAATTCAATGTTGAAAGGTGGTTCAATAGAAAACCTTGTTTTATTATTAACATTAAGAAATACTCGTTATATACGCTCCCAAGTGTGTTGTTCCAAAACTAATTAACATCAGTTGAATAAAACAAGAAATGAAACTTGTTTTAATTCTTCCTATTTTTACTAAGCATATCCTTTTCAGAAATTAGTTGAAAACATGGTAATTTTTTTTATTTGTGCGATACACTCAGATGTATTTCCTGTTAAATTTTTTGTAGCTCATTGCTGCAAATCTTTGTTAACCAGCTTCCTGCTCACTTTGAAGAGGAGTGTGTAGTTTCACGTTTTCAATACTTCATGCTATTTATTGTGCAACAAATGATTGCATCTTCCAATAAAAACCTTAAGTAGCAGCATTGGTCTGAGGCAACAAATAGCTATGAAAAGTCTTAAGATGGAGTTTGTTCTATGATGCCACTTCTACAGTAATAGCTTCACATCTTCCAGTATCTTGATCTGTGCAGGTAACATGTAAGGATCCATCCCTAATAAAAGAGAAATATTTCAATAAATAACAAAGATTTCCATGTTTCCAACATCTGAAGCTTAGCAAATACATAAAGTCTACATATAACTGGACATAAAGGTTTTCTAATTACAGTAGTTCCAAGAAAACAGTATATAGATGAATGGTTTAGATGGATGGACAATGTGCACCCATCATTCTACTTTTGTGATTAAAAGAAGGACTCCCTTGAGCACCGATTCCTTTCTAAAGTAATAAAAACATACACCTGGACCTGGTAGTTCAGAAGAGAAACATCTTTTGAAGAGAAATACAAGATGAAAATGCAAAACAGTTCTGCCCTAGTTAGATGTCCGGCAAAAGGAGGACATGTCCTACTTTTGAGGAATATGTCCTCCGTCTGGCAGGCAAGACTAACTTCAAAATGTCCGGCTTTTGTATCTCCACCCCCTTCCCCTGCAGCCGAACCTCTCCGTTACTTCCTTGGTCGCAGCCCTTGTAAATCCTCCGGTTCCATCAGAGAGATCAGATCGGAGATAAGGTGGCTTGATTGTTTAGGGCTGTTCCAGCCCCCAGCAATCAATCCCCAGCTTGTGGATGGCTGCTTCTTCCTGGGAGCTGAATAAGGCAGGAAGGTGCAAGATAGATGGATGGAAACCTGGACAGGAGTGAAGTGAATGCACTTGCTTGCCTGCAGGAGGGGAAACTGGTCTGGGGTTTGGAGGGGGTGACAGCCAGGGAAATAGGGGTCGGGCCGGTCACTCCTTCCTCCTAAGGCCGGGGAACAGGAGGCACTTTTATCCCCCACTTCTGCCCTGACACACACACACTCGACCTTGGGGCACGTGCAGAGTGTGTTTCCAGGTCCAGGAACATATGCAGTTATCCCCCATGCTTGGAGCCGGATCACACACACAAGCGGATTTCTCTCAGCTTGAGAAATTGCAAAAGGTGGAGAAAATGGCTTTGTGTGTGCGTGTTTGTGTGTCTGCAAATCCATTTTCTCCACCCTCTGCATTTCTCAAGTTGAGAATAAATCCAGTTTTTTCCTGATTTTTATAGTGTTTCAAATCTGTCACACAACTTTTTAAACTTTTTATTTCACTTTATTATGCTTTTATTAAAATTAAAAAAATCAATAAGTAAAACGAGGATGGGTTTCCATTAAAGGAATAGATTGTCACCATTGGTCCTGGGAGCCCATAAAGTGTATATGTAGATTTGTTTTGTTTTTATTTTTTAAACATTTTTAAAACAAAAACACAGTGGCCAGTGGATTCTGAGTTTTGTATTCCAAAAAATGTAACTTTCCCAGTCCTGACATTTCAAGACTGAGTAGGTTGAATGGTTATGGTATTGCCCTATGATCAAAGAGCTATTCCGCCCAATACCTAATTCCAAAAGTGACATGCCCTCCACCCCACCCTGTGCACAGAGCCTCCCCCCATATGTCCTCCTTTTTGGCTGTCTATGTCCTTCTTTTCATACACATGTATCTGGCAACCCTAGCCCTACTGTATCACTCTTATCTATGGGATGATTATTATTAAAAAAACACCTGGCACAGTCAATCAAAATTATAAAAACATTGAATGGTATTATATAACAGATACAAGTTTGAAACAAAACCTAAGTATCTCTTAAATATCAGTGCAGTATTATGTTGTTCCTAAGCTGTTTTTGTAGCTCTGATGGTGTGATTTGACATCCGCAACTGCTTACAGTACTGTGTGAAATTTCTTGATATTGTTCCAAAAGCCCCAGTGACTAAGAGGACTACTGAAGTGTGTTTCACCCACAAGATGGATCATCACCATCTTGCTGGGAAGTAAATTATATTACTGAGATCCAGTAAAAATGGCATCAGGTTCTTAGAGGCACAATCTTTATTATTCTGAACCAGAAAAGTAATAATTGCAAATGAGTACCTTTTCATTGTGAGGACAGCTAGAATATCATGCAGACCATCTTCTTTTACATCTAAATCATGGAGTACAATCTGTTTAAGAAAAATTGGTTTTGTTTTTAACATTATTTTAGTTAGGTAAACCGATCACAAATCTAGTAGAACAAATGAGTGGAGGGAGGTAACTCAGAATACATTAGATAAAATGAGAGCTAAAACAAACAATTCTGCCATAACTATATTTGGAAATGATTTTTTTAGAGAAAGGGAGTTCTAACAAGGACAAAACATGCTCAGGAATATTGTAAACTACTGTTAAACTAATTTAGAAATCCACTTGTTGATTTAGGTAACAATTTCTTCACTTTGGAACAGAATCTAGGGGAAATGATCTGTCATGGTATTCGCCATTCAAAACACTGCCTTGTAAAGTAGACTTTTAAAAAGAGGTATGTTACATACATACTTTAACAACCTATGCTACACTGATTTCTAATGTAATAAAACCCCTTTCCAGATGTGGGAACAAGTGTTTATGAGGTTAAAGATAGTAAGGTAAAAGGTAAAGGTTCCCCTTGACAAATTGTCCAGTTGTGTCCGACTCTAGGGAGCGGTGCTCAACCCTGTTTCCAAGCCACAGAGCCAGCGTTTGTCTGTAGACAGTTTTCTGTGGTCACGTGGCCAGCGCGACTAGACACGGAATCCCATTACTTTCCCACCGCAATGGTATCTATCTACTCGCATTTACATTGTTTCAAACTGCTAAGTTGGCAGGAGCTGGGACAAGGGACGGGAGCTCACTTCGCTGCGTGGAATCGAACTACTGATATTTCGACTTTGCACCCCAGAGGCTTTGCGGTTTAACCCGCAGTGCCACCACATCCCCCTGAAGATAGTACATAAACACAAAAGAAGCCTATGCTGCAGTTCCTTTGTAATTCTGACATTGATACTGTGCACAGAACAGACCCCTGTTAAATACTTGGATTGACTACCTTGCATAAGGGAGCACTTTATCTAATGCCTTTGATCCATTCCTTCTCTCCAAGGTCTTAAAATTGATGTCTTAAAATTTTCTTCTCTACAGTGGTACATGGATTATAAAGCAATGAGATCTTAACATGAAAAACCTTCTTCAGAACTACTAAATGCTCACTTCAAAGTCCATCACCTCCCTCTAATGACTTATAAAAATATTTTAAAATCAAGGTTACTGAGTGCATCTTCTTGCTACGCATCTGTCACCTTAGGAATTTTAGAATGGAAAATCCTTACATGCCCACGGTGTATACAAAAAAGTTACATAACTCTGATTGCAGCCCTACACCAATCTACTTGGGAATTAACTCCACTGAACACACTGCAGTTTACTTCAAAGTAAAGAAACACAGGATCACACTGCAAAACACCCAATGTGCTTTTCTTCACCTGTGCAAACTTGTCTTCTTTCACCAGCGTTTTTTCCAGGGACTCGTACAGTTCTAGACAGACAGAGGAGTTGCTTCCTGGAGCTTGCAGTGTATGTTGCCTTCTAGCTGGCAAAGGAGTTCCCAATGGAAACACCACCAGGAATTTATCATCCCCTGATTCGTTCACTACCTAGTAAAGAAGGGAGATTTGCAGCCTAAGAACCTCAGAGAAACCTAAAAGTCATCACAATTCATTCTAACCTGTTTATTTCAAGTACAGATATTACAATGCTTCCACTGATCCTTATTAAAAAGATGGTGAAACTTTAAATATCTCTGTGCAGTCATGCTACTAGTCAACTCCTATGCTTGCTAAAATCAGTTTGTTAATCTGATGGGAAGACTAGAAGACCCTTGGTATTCCTTCCAACGCTACAATTTTAAGTAGATGTTAATGCAGATACTAATTTTTCAAATGTTATCTTGAACTCCCATTTAATGAAAAAATAACAAGTGAAGAATCAAAAAGGGTGACTACTCAGGCATTGATCTGCAGGAATGGGCTGGTTCACTGCTAAAGATGGTGATCAGATGACATAATCACTGGAGTGAACCAGTCTGCCCCCAGAGGATTCCCACCTGCAACTTTCTGAGCCCCTGTCAGGGGCTTATACTTTTTTGGTGCATGTAGGATTGCTCTGGTTTGGTCCATTCACAACATTTGTGATTGATGGAAATAGATCAAAAAACAAGCCTCCTGGCTCTCAAGTCTCCTTCCAGTTGGAATTACCAATATAGTGAAGTGGCATAATAAGTGAACCACTTCAGAATATCAGTAAATCGAACACTTTCTCTGCTTCTTGGCTGAAATTTTTTTTGATGATAAGACCACCACTGATGTGCTGCACTGTTTATAAACATTTTTTTCCTTGTCATAAAGGGCTGGATCTATTCAGAGGGCACAGTGGGGAACGGAACTACTAACCTCTGGTTCCAGAGGAGATATCTGAACCACAGAGCTATCTAACCAGTATTACAGTTCATTACTGTTGTTCATAATACTATTGTCACCTTGCTAGTCCATTTCCTGTGCCTACCTTTTAGGTAACCCATGGTTTTACTTCACTCTAAAACGATTGAAAAACAATGTATTTACAAAAGCGCAAATTGAAATATAATAGTCTTTATTAATCTTATAATGGTCTTTAAGGTGCCACAATGGTTTGGTTTTGTTCTTTATTCATTCTTTCTTTTATGGCTTTCATTTTTGTCTGACATGGCTAACACTGTATATCATATCACAACCGTATCAAAATCAACTAGCTAATAAGCTAAATATGTATTTTCACAATGCTGCATTGTTAGACCTTTAGTAACTAAGACATGCAAATTTTCATTCCCTCATATTCATTTTGACAGGGGTCTTTACTGTCAGGACAACCCTCATATAACATACACACACCCAAACACAATTCAATAGTGAAATATAGTTGAGAATATCACAATAATACCACATCTTACTACAGCGGTGCCTCGACTTGACGTCCCTACTTACGAAAATTTCAAGTTACGGAAAGCTCCAAAATTTAGGTTCACCTACTTATGAAAATTTCAAGTTACGGAAAACTCCAAAATTTAGGTTCGACTTGCGGCCAGAGCTTCCACTTATGAAAGGAAAAAGGCAGGGGGAAAGGGCGGGAAATTCAAACCGTTGGTGGCAAAGAGGCTGCTTCTTCGCCCCAATGGTTAGGAAAAGGGAGGCTCAGCCTCCTGGGCTTCCCCGCTGCTGCGACCGCGGAGACAACAGTCACCCAGCACCAGGAGGCTTGAGCTGGCTGGGTTTCTTCGACCGCTTGACTCCCGGCTCGCTTCTCACTCGCTCCTCGCCACCCTCCGCCATTTGAATTTCCCGCCATGGACCCACAGAGGGTGGCACGGAGCAAGCAGGAGGCAAGCTGGGAGACAAGTGGTCGAAGAAACCCGGCCAGGCTCAAGCCTCCCAGTGCTGGGCGACTGCTGCCTCCGCTGCGGCCGGGGGCGAGTAGCTGAACCACCCCGGCCAGGCTCAAGCCTCCTGGCAGTGGCAGTCACAGCAGGAATGGAACCCTGGGAGGCTGAGAAGGCTTCAGACGGGTAAGATGCTCCTTTTTAAAAAAATGTTGTTCTGGGTGGGTTTTAGAGGGTAGGTTTGGGCCGTGGGGGTTATGTTTCTGTGTTGTTGTATGTTTTTTCAGTCCCAGCATGGGACTTGCTCCAATGTTTATTTTTGGATTTATTTATTTATTTATTTATTTATTTATTTATTTTGGTTTTTTTGCAGTCCCAGCATGGGACTTGCTCCCTTTATTTTTATTTATTTATTTATTTTTTCTTTCTTTCTTTGGCCGGAACAGATTAATCGGTTTTTAGCCGTCCTCCGCAGCCCCGCTCCAAGCGCGTTTACTGGCAGCTGTGATCTCAGACAGCAGAGGCTGCCAGCTTCGACTCCGGCAGCTTTATGGGGCTGGGAGGGGGTCCACCTATTGACGGGGATGGCGCAATGCAGTCACGCAGCCCCCGTCCCCTCGCGTCCCACTCCTTTCTTCCTTCCCTCTCTCCCCCTCTACTGTTGCGACATGCCCCAGCCGTATTCCCACCACAAGTGCCGGCAGTGTCACTTGAAAATTTGGAATTTCTTTTAAAATAAAAAATTGCACTGGGCCGCATTACGAGCTGACCTGGGCCGCATGCAGCCCTTGGGCCGCAGGATGGACAAGCCTGCTTTAAAGGATGAAGAACTAATTTGTAAGAATCTGTTATTCTTACCTTCACTAAGATGTCTTTGGCAGAACATTCAACAGATAACATTTCATCATCTAAAAAGGTATTATCTTTTCCTAGTAAGATTCCAGCCTCCATAGCAGCCCCAATGGGAATGACCTCATCTGGAGGCACAGAGTTCAGCAATTCAACCATTGGGAAAAGTTCTTTGATTAACTGCTGCAGTTTTGGCATACGAGCAGATCCACCACAGAGGACAACCTAGAAGACAAGAAAGCATGAAAAGGCAAACATCAAAGCCATTCCCCGAGACGTTCAATCCACATGGATGCTCTTCTTTGCTACATCTTCTCTGAATTACTGCAAAGTGCTCTACCTTTGAAGAGTGTTTGGAAACTTCAACTACTTCAAAATGCTGCAACCAGACTACTGAGCGGTACTAGTTACAGGAGCATGTAATTGGCTGCCAGTCTGTATCCAGGCTCAAATCAAAGTGCTGGTTATTACCTAAAAAGCCCTCTTTAGCTTGGGTCCAGGGCAGACTATCTGGAGGATGATACCACCCCACATGAGCTACTTGCTTGGGTCCAGGGCAGACTATCTGGAGGATCGTACCACCCCAAATGAGGCTACTTGGTTTTTAAGATCTTCTGGGGAGGCCCTTCTCTTGGCACCATCACCATTTTGGGTCCAGGGCAGACTATCTGGAGGATCGTACCACCCCAAATGAGGCTACTTGGTTTTTAAGATCTTCTGGGGAAGCCCTTCTCTTGGCACCATCACCATCCCAAGCTCACTTGGTGAGGACAGGACAGAGGGTGCTCTTAGTGGCAGTTCCCAGGCTTTGGAAGGCACTGCCCTAAGAAGCCAAGCTGTCCTTCCTCTTGCCCTGCCGTCATCATGCAAAGACCTTCATTTTCAGGCAGTCAGTGGGAGTCTAGGGAACACACGTTTTAAAACATCTTTTTAAAAATTCTTTTAAATCTTGATTAATGTTTAATTGCTTTTAACATAGTTTTGTACAGCATTTTAAACTTGCCATTGTTGTACAGTTTTATTTGTTGTAAGCTGCCTTGGGTCTCCTGTAGGGAGAAAGGCAGCATATAAATAGAAATAAATAATATTTTAGAACTTTGGGCACTCCTATGTACCCAAGATGACCACTTAGGTAGTTCTCTATCACCTCTTACAGCTATGCCACCAAAACAGCATCTTCTGTTACAGCTATACTTATACATACACCAATGTTTTGTCTAAGGTGTGTGTGCAGAGCTCCACCAGAGTCACACAGTGGCAGCCAATGATTATGCCTGTTTACTTCTGGGTTTTGGATGAAACCATGACCCCCCCCCCTACGCAGATAGGTGAGGCCCCTAAAAATTAGATGGAACACTGACATACATCCTGAGGTATTTTCAGTCTGGAACTGGCAGTGCCATTATGAACTATGGCCAAGCCTGGAGAATTGTTGGAGGCACTATATGTCAAAGTTTATGGCAAAAAGAAGCACAGAGGCTCCATTTCTATGACACGTTGCAGCCTAGTTTCTGATTTTCAAAGCAGTGCAGAAGGGGAAAGATTAGGGAGAGGGCACATGGACCGAAAACTTATTTCCGGCTTCAGCAACTACAACTTAAAAGGACTTGAACAATTATCTAAACCAGGTTAAATTAACTGGCTTGTAAATATGCCCAATAGTAATCTAAATATTTCTGAAGGCAAGAAAAACCTCAAGAATAGCTAAGATACAAACAAAATCATTGCCCTCTTACTTGGTTGATATTGTCTGCTGTGAGTCCAGCTTGTTGCAAGACCTTTCTGATGGCTTCTATGCATTTGTTAAAAAGTGCAGAGCAAATAAGTTCAAATCTGGCCCTGTTGTGTTGAGAAAATAAAATAAAAACAGGAAATCTTACACCCATACTTTTTCACAGGAAACATTCATCAACAGTATTTTCTGATGGAGGGTGTGCTTCTTGGTTTCACTGGACTCCAACTCCCAGAATTCTGCCTAAGGAATGGCTGCCTGAAAACATGAATATGCACCCTCCCATCCCAGTCTGATGTACTTTTGCAGCAGAAACAGAAACCTGAGATATAATCAGCACAACAGAATTTTTTGTAAGACAAATCAACCCAACCTAAATAACTATTACATTCATCTTGCTGAAATAGGACACCAACAAATGCCACCATGACATACATTTTACAATTATGCAATTATTAAAATGCTCAGGTTTGTACTTAAGATTTAAACACTGCTCCTTCACTTTGCCTTCAGAGCAAGAATGAATACCACTGTAAAATGTTTTGGAGAAAATCCTATTGTGTTTTCAAAACAACATAAAGATCAGCAGCAAACTGCTAGCTTAAGCCTTTACTGTTCCTCAAACAGCTAAATTGTAGCAATTTACGCCAACTGCATCCCCCAGTGAGTGAAACTAATAGGATTTTGAACACCAAGTGGGGAAAGCATACAATGCTAAATGCTAAAAACAGCTGCCAAATTCACCAAAATTAAACAAGAAATACAAACAAATCAAAAAGTCGCTGCATCTAACCAAGGCTATCCAGTGATCTTCAAACTTTAAACATGCTTGGAAAAATAACCTGCAATGTTTCATAGGGCTTGGAATTCCAAACTACTGATGCTACAAAGAAAACCACAATAAGCTTTTTTCATCTGCACATGGGGCAGCAGAAGGACATGAAGCCTCATACTGGTACTTAAGTTGCCTACGAAGAAAGCAAAATTGTACGCTAAGAGACAGCATAAAATGTGCCTACCTGGAAACATTACAGTCAAAATCCAGACCATCATACAGGGAGTCAACAAAGCAGTTTGCACTTCCCAATGTTGATAATGAATGCTTTGCAACTTCAGCACTGTTCATTAGCTTCATCATGGCCCTGGGGTTTCCCCTTACATCATATTTATACAATCTATTTTTAAAAAGGAAAACACAACAAACATTTCCAGAAAATCTGCTTAGTAATACTAGCATGATCACTTGTCCCACAAATTAGAAAAATTAACTGGCTTAGTGACTCCTACAATTTCCCATGAGTTTTTAATTTCAGTATATATACATATATAATCATTACAAGCTAGAAATTGATTATGTATGCTTCCTGGGAAGAGAATGTTTAAATGTAGACAAGCTACAAAGCCAAAAGTCAACATGATGTACAAAGCCAAAAACATAAGCACCTTACATTTCACAGATTTATGCTCAACTGCCTTTTACTGCAAAGAATGTAACTTAGTAATGCTTTGCTTTGGCGATGATGTGTCCATAATCACTCTGCTTGACATGGAGCACATTAAGTTATTTACATAAAACATTATTTTTTGCCTGTAAAAAAGAAAACCCATTCTTTGCAAAATATCCATTTCCTGTTATCTGGAGGCAGTTCTTACATAGAGAACCAAGCAAATTATTCTTTTTCTCACAAAGCAAATTAATAATAAACTTTACATTTGCAATAAAAATATTTTTTTCACAGCAGCATTTGACTGTATTATTTGACAATCTCAACTGGTATGGCTTTTGAAAACTATATCAAATAGGTTGGTTACATGTGTTTTAATGTAAATTGCCCAGAGTGTGTGTACACTATAGGGCAGTATACAAACTAAATAAATAGCATTGTGCACATGTTGCTGATGAGCTTCATAAGCCAAATTAGTATACAAACTAAATAAATAAATAAATAGCATTGTTCACATGTTGCTGACGAGCTTCATAAGCCAAATGAATCTATTAACTGAAATTATAAAACACCTTTTTTAATTTTAAATTCTGGAGCACTTACCTTTGAAACTCAGAGGCTAAATGTTGCGCTAAGGCCTCAGTAAAACAGGTACCCCCTATGCTGTCATCTGTGTTTGTGGAAACAACACGATACAGTCCACTGTTGACTTCCATAACTGTGATAGAGAGAGATGTCCCTCCAAGTTTGTACACTAACAAATTGCTTCAATGGATAGAAAGAAAAATAATAAAAAACCAGGATCAGCGGACCTTTTGCCCCATTAGCAACAACAATACATTTTCACAGTTACTGGAATAATTATCTTCTGAATTCCATTTTAAATGTATTACAAAGGACTAGTTAAAGTCTGAGATTTCAGTTCCTCAATAAAACACTTGTCTGGAATTCACAAGTTTACAAATTTCACTGGAAATGATTCCAGTTTTCTTATTTACAGCTGGGACACCATGAAAAAAGTATTAGGACAACCCTGACAAAGAACTGACTCAGTTGTTTTTATACATAATGCAGACATTTTACTAAAATTTGACAGATTAAAAACTGAAGACACACATACTCTGAGATAATTCTATGTGTCCCAACACCTGGAAACCTGTACTGGACAAGAATTAAATAAAAGTTCCCCAACACTGGCATGCTACTTGCCAAGAACTTTAAAAACAAAACAGAAAACAGGAACAAGTGATGGTCAGGAACAGCTGTTTCCATAATTTTCTGGTCTACAAGTAACATGCCAAAGGAGCTTATTATTTGGCTGGGTCCTGTTTGTGAACAGAACGGTTTGCTCAAACCTCCACGTTCTTGGCTAGATCCATTAAAAGGTTCCCTGGACAACTCACAAAAACTCAACAGCAGCTCAGAACACGCCTTGGACCTCAGGTGATGGAGAGAGGAGTACCACCACCAAGGTAGTAATCTGCAAGGTGTATTTTAGCATTGTTTCACTAAGGCCAGTAGAACTCTGACATATACACATTACTAGTAATCATTATAACAAACAAAATACAATTTCTATATTCTTATTCTCAACTTCTTTCAGAGTTCCATTTGATTTTTGAACTACACTACCATTATTCAACAGACAATATTAAGCTACATTGAACAGGGTTGTTGCTTTTTAACACCTTTTTCCACTGGGTGAATCTTGTCCAATTCCATAAGCCAGCAGAGCTGCAGAGGGTTCATGTATCAGCCTAAGGACATTAAGTCCTGCTGCAACAGCAGCTTCCCTGTGGTGAAGACATAATGCTGAGATTAGTCTCACTTCACATTATTGTCTTGAATTGAGACAAAGATGTCTGACTTACAACTGTATAGCTGAATCCAAACAATTTAGATATGATATAATTACACTTCTCACGACAAAAATAACCTTAAGCAAGCCAAAGAAACATGTTACTTTTAAAACTACATAACTGCAGTGACAGAAAAAAAGACACAACATAAAATCCTTACAGATGTTTAACATATACGTATACTGTACTAAGCTTAAAATATCACATTCAAGCTTGAAAGAGATTTGACTTTACTCCACAGAAGCCCATATCTGAACAACTGACGGTGGTGTGTGGAACACAAGACACAAAAAGCTGAGTCACAGCTGGCCCTGCCATGCAAGGGGAAATGACCTGCTCTGGGGGGAACATCATGGAGAACAGAAGCAATAGATGAGGGGAGGACTTAGTATCCAAATGCTACAGCAAGGCTTTGGAAAGTTTTAGTGGCAGAGGAGGGGACCCAACCTGCCATCAGGCAACAATTTCCCCCCCTCCCTATTGCATCTTATAGACAGCTTTAAACTAAACTATCCACCTAAACTGTAAAATACAGACACTATGCTGCTAACAGAATTTATAATGAAATGCTAGTGGATTTCTATTTTGGCAGTCAGGCTAGTGACTGAGTCTGAGGACCAGACTGCTATTCGGCAAAAGGGTGGCTAATGAAATTTTTTTTAAAAACACACAAAGTTGTAATGGGACCTGCATCTCACCTTCAAGTTAGAGCCACATTTCTCTTGACTAGTAGCAGAACTCTTACTGCTATGCCCAATAGGAAGATCAGGAGGCCAAATAGCCTTTAATTTGATGATCTGGTCTATGCCCTTTCCTGATTTTCCATAGGAAGTTATTATTGATTACTTATCTGAAGCATTTATTTATCACTATTCCACGAACCAGAGCTCCCAAAACAACTTACAACCCTTTCTGAATTTATGAGTGAACTAAGTATTATGAAGCTGCCACTAAACATCTGGTACATTGCATGGCAGGAATATGAACAACCACTGCAGCTTATTGATGCTATGCAAGACGTTTATCATGGTTCTGTCACACATTTGCTTAGCAGCTATAAGTATAACAATTCACTTCAGATGGCCTTGACTCTGTCCAGCCAGGATATCCACACAGGTAAATCCTAAATAGCCAGGACCACAAATTCCATAATTTTCCATTCTTGGAGCTCCACCTAACTTACAAAAACATACAACTAAATTTGAAGCCTAAATTGAAGACCTACCTTCAGAAAGCTCCCAACTAGCACTGGGGCAGGAAGAGGAAGCATGGGCAGGGCTAGGCCTTTCTCCAAGGGGAGCTACATTTTGGTGTCTGTAAGTCAGGTAGAACTCGCAGAATGGAAAATCATGGAATACGAAGTCCAAAATAGATCTGAAAATCTCATCCTTAGCAACCAATCATGTGGTTCCATTGACTTACAATTCTTCCAAATCTTCTACGTATTTCAATCTTGAAGATAAGAACTGTAGCTATGAGATACCCTAGATATTCTAGGCTACAGTAGATATGGAGTTCTGAATACAGATTTCTGACCCAACCCAAGCCAAAATATTGTCAGTTTTAAAAAGATTTCTGTTATTCTATTTCAGCATGGAAGCAAAAACTGTTGTCATTTGAAAGACCAAACTATTTTAGTGTAAGTTTAAATGGATTGTTATCCATGAAAGCTCAACCAAAATAAATCTGTTAGTCCAAAAAGTGCCAAAAGACACACATTGTCATCAAGTTTATTAACTCATTCTCACCTTTCAGTTCCAATAAAAATGTTTAATTAAAAGCAATCTGAAAAGAGTACTTACCCGAGAGCATTCTTCTGGTTTTCATCAAAGTCAAATGGTACTGTAATAACAGTATCATTGATATCTGAACCCAAAGCAGACTGAGCAGTTTCTACATATAAAAAGATAGAAGAGTGAATAAAAGCAAGTTCACTCAATACAAGCGATCATCAAATTTTAAGTTCAGAGAAACCCCACCACCTCTGAATGTGGTACCTTTCATTTTACTGAAGACCAGTTTTGCAACATCTTCTGGGGAAATAAGTTTCCCATCTATTTCATAACTAAACTTTCCATTCTTCTCAATGATCTAGAAATGAACAAAATATGAGCAAATATTAATCTATCACACCTTATCTGTAATCAGATCACAAAAGTTTCCTTATCTCTAAGATTATTTATAATGTAAATGTTCTTTTGGTTGATTATAAAAATCTGCACATTCCTTACCTGAATAAGGGCTTCATTCACTATGCATTACACAGAAAATCAAATCACTGTACACAAGTACAAACCACATAAGCTGAAGGAGTCCACTACAAACCTCCTCAAAAAACAAACAAAAGATTGACCTGGGACCTTTGGAGCTCTTAATGGACTACTGAATGAGCAATCGATAATTCCGAGCTTGTCTGTCTAGCACCACCTCCAGGCTAGACCCTTTCAGTTCAACTGATGGCAGCAGGTGCCCCATACCCATGCCAATAAAAGCTGCTTAGAGAACAAAGGCTGGCATGGACGTTTGAAGGGAAAGAAAAAGAAAAAGATGAGACTCACAACAGAACACAGCAACAAGCCAGGTGTGACAGAAGAGGCAAAAAGGGTGGGGAGATGAAAACATAGCTGTTCATTCTATATATATTTTCATACAACCATGAACCACCCTGTGGTTGCTTTGCCTTAAAAAAGTGTAAACACGTTTTGTGAAAATAAAATAAAAGAACAGAGAAACTGAGGGAGAAGGAAAGAAGAAGCCCCTAAAAGAGCTCCAGCACATTCTGGCTGTAGCAAAAGGTATCTTGTCTGCCTCAAAATAACATGGCACTGGGTGGCAGCATTGGGAATATGACAGCCTGGGTACAGGTGCACTTGCATGGTGATGATGAATGGGTAAAGGAAAAAGGGGGAGGAATAATTTTAGAGGCATGTAGAGCAAGGAAGAAAAACAAAATTAAAATGTCTCCTCACTTGGACCTTCTGGATAAACAAATTTTATGTCCAATGTTATCTTTAGAACCATCTTCACTTAACTTGGAAAGCTGAGCTTTGGAATGCGCCCACATTACAATTTTGTGACAGGTGGGGCTCAGTAATTTTCAGTTCTGGAAGTTATTTCATTTCACTCCATAATTTAAATGGAAAGATACTGAAAGGTAGAGTGTTTGAGAGCATCTGTCACAATGAAATCCTCTGTATGAATTCCTCCCCTACTCACATCCCTTCTTCAGATCAATTAAACACAATGAAATGAAACCTCTAGGTTGGGGATGAGAAACCTGCAGCCCACGAGATGTTGCTGGCTGCACTTCTAACCATCCCTTACCAAGGACTATGCAGTCTGGAGCTGATGGGAGTTAAAGAGTTCTAAACAAACTCATTCCTACTGCCAGCATCTGAACAGGACATGCATGAAGTGGTTTCACAATTCAGAACTCTCACTCAGTTCTATCAGCAGAATCCTACAGGCACTACACATTTCTGAACACTGTAAGAACAAGTGGGCTCCAATACACTTTAGAAAGATACTATAGATATAGAAAAAAACATTGTTTATTAAAGAGAAATAAGAAGTAAAACCTTACTGAGCATTTACTTTCTGCAATATACTTTTCAGCCTGAGGATCTCCACAGCTATCAAAACAAGCAAAATGAGAAAACACTTTAGAACTAGAAGAGCAACATATTATTAACATTCACATTATACAGGAATCATGTTTCATGAAATCCTGCTGCATTCTCCAGTTTAAACATGGTAACCATTTCTGGACTGAAAGCTATTGTGGCTGAAAGTCTTGTTTGTGCTCATGTTTCATGAAATCCTGCTGCATTCTCATTTAAACATGATAACCATTTCTGGACTGAAAGCCATTGTGGCTGAAAGTCTGTTGTTTGTGCAATAAGTTGCAACTACAGTAGGCCCACTGAACCTGTGGTGATTTTGTGTGTGTATATATAACAAAATCCTAAAACAACATATGCTAAATTTCACCCAGTGACCTTAGCCACTTCTGTCACACAAAGCAGTTCTGTTCAAATAACTGGTTAATAACCATACTTCAAAAGTTAAGATTTGATTAGAGATGGAAGCACTGCTGCCCAGGTGTTCCTAACTCCTCTCCTTCCTCTCCCCCCCCATCCAGCCACCAGGTGGGGAGGCAGGAGGGGGAGTCTCCCCACACAGCTGAGGAGTGGTTAGCTGCCTGGGGAGGCAGGGACAGTCCGGTGAGACTTCAGTGTTGATTGGTGCGCTGCCAATGGAAAAGGACCCTGTCTGCCTGTGGAGCTTTGTTAGTGGACCAGGTGGCTGAGGGGTAGGTAGGAGAGGAATGAGGAACACCTGGGCAGCAGCCATCTCTAGATTTGATCCAAACATGCTAAGGCTTCAACTGCTTGGAAAAAACAGGAAACTTTCATTTAATAAACCCATTCAAGCCCAAACTAAATTCCCAAATGAAGTTCATCTGTTTTCCATACCTCCTCCCAAGAAGCTGCTTTACTTTCACTACTGTGTTTGAAAGATTTCTCACTCGGTTTTGTTTTGCTGCCAAACCAACAACCTGCAAAAAAAAAGCTTTTTAAAAGATCATTTAAAAAGAAATAATGTTTTCCTTAGGTTGCCACTGGAAAACAGATTACCTCTTCATTTTCTGAAAAAGCAACAACAGTGGGAGTAACTCGGTCCCCAGCATCATTGGCAACAACATCTGCACGGCCATCCTAAAGAAAAGCAACAGATGCAGCGAGTACAATTACCAAGGATACATGAAACACAGCAAGGTTTGTTACACTCTCTAGTCCCACTCTCAAATGTTTAAAAACATTTTCTCAATAGAATCACACTACCTCCTGCAGAGATTAGATTATGTTCTTCGACCGAAAGATAATAAACTGTTTTTTCAGAAGAAAGTCCCATGAAACTGAATCCACTCCCAAAGTGTGCATATAACTGTAGCCCCAGTGTAACAAATAAAATATACTAATAGAAAGTGATCAAAAATATTTTCCCTGATTCCTGCTCAGAAAGCGGGGGGGGGGAAGAGTGTACCCGCCCTCCCCCGTGAACTTCCACGTTGAAGCAGAGATTCGAACCCAGGTCTCCCCGCCAGCCTCAGTCCACCGAACCGGGTTTCTGCCCACTACCAATTCCCTAGCCACGTCCAGCTGGTTCACCCCCTAAACCTCCCCACCTTGCCCGGCAGCCGCACCCCGAAAGCCAGTCCCATCCGTACCTTATAAACGGCGGCGCAAGCGCACGTACTGCCCAAGTGGATCCCGATGGCTGCCATAAATGCTTCCCTTCCGCCACCCTCGCAACGAAGGCAACGCGGCCGACAGCCCTCGATACCCACAATGCAACTCGAAAGAGCCAACCACCATTCTTCCTCTCTCCGTCTACTTCCGATCCGGAGGACGCGGGAGGATAATACCCAATCAGAATAATACTTTACGTGACATCACAACCCCCCCACCCCGGAGTTTTTTTCCCCCTCCACGGCCGAAAGCCCTCCCAAAGGGGCGGAGCCTCGGGCGATCCCTTTTCCCAGGTTGGGGAGGAGCGAGGGAACGAGGAGTGGTGCCAGTTGCTGGGATTGCTGCAGCCATGTGGGTGCTCTCGTGGTCTTTTTGCCCCGTCTCCTGTTGCTCTTTAGCGGCCCTCACTCTCGCCGCCCTCTGCCTCGGCCCCCGGGCTGCCTGTGCCCTTCCTCCAAGGAGCACAGAAGAAGCCCCGTGCGAAGGTGAGGGGCCGCCTCGCGCCCTGCTTCAGCTGCTGCTGCTGCTCTAATTAATCAGCTTGGGCGCCCGCGTGTGACTTGGACAGGGTGCATGGCCCGCCCTGCCCGCGGTGGCTTTGTCGTCTCTGTGGCCGCGCCGCCTGCTCCGTTATAAACGCCCGAGGTTTCATTGCTCGCACGCGGTCCAGCAGCGTAGGCATGACACGGTGTTTTTGCAAACTAACCCTTATGGGGTATGAGCGTACCGGGAGTAGGGGAGAATCCCAGCACTGGGCTGATTTGCATTTGACTTTTCCCAGAGCCAACGGCTTCCAGGTGTGGCATGAAACGGATTAAAAACACTTTCCTTTATTTGTTGTGGCTAACGTGTTTTTCTGTGGGTTGTGGAAGAGCATAAGCTAAAGCTGGCTCCAATTTCATTATCTGCACTTTTATTATGTGCTGTCAAGTCACCTCAGCCTTATGGCGACTATGTGCTGTCAAGTCACCTCTGTCTTATGGCGATTCTATGAATGAGTGACCTCCAGAATGTTCTGTCATCAACAGTGGTGCTCAGGACCGTGGTTCCTTTATGGAGTCAAAATCCATCTCATATTTGGGATAAATATTTTCCTGTTCCCTTTAACTTTTCCTGCGTGTCTTTTCCAGTAGTCTTGTCTTACCAGCACAATATACTGTACTAGGTCCTAATTAGTAGTCTTGTCTTACCAGCACAATATACTAGGTCCTAATTCGAAATACCCAGTGTGGTGTAGTGGACAGAGTGGTGGACTAGGACTCTGGAGAAAAGATAGAGTGGTGGACTAGGACTCTGGAGAAAGGAGTTAAAATCCCCACTTGGCCATAGAAATTCACTGGGAGAGTGAATTGGGTATTGGGTAAAAGCATTCCTTCAATATGACCTTGAAAGCCCATTAGGGTGACTGTAAATCTGTTTGGGCTTGACAGCACAGAAAACATAATTCAAGTACTGCAAGGTGTGATAGAAGCCTAAGATGAGATGTTTGAAAGCTCTCCACAACAAAGTAGCACTTCAGCAAGAGCCAGTTTTCAGACCAATACTAGCAAGATGTCTCATAAGTTTGAAAGAAAGTTGATGATACAGTACTTAGTCCAAAAGGCTATTTATATTCAATGTACTGCTCCTAGTCATCCAGTTATGAATTATGACTGAAGTTTAAGCAGCTCCCCTCCCTAGGATAGACTTAAGGTATAAAATAAAATTAAATACTTTTTTTAGAAGCTAAGATGAAACAGCAATTTAATATTTATATTTCAAAAATTGACAGTATTGGGACCCTTAACACTCCATTTGGGAGTGTTATGTTTTCAGTCTCAGCATCAACTCAAGATGAATGGGGATGTCTAAGGGATACACTGTAGAGTCTAGAATGAAAAGCCTAGCACAATGGACCAGGACTTGAACCCACGATACACAATGAATCACTTCAAGCAAAAGCACCAGAGCGTTGCAAGCCTGTTTCAGCATCAAGTTGGAATAAATGGAAGAAGGCAGGTCTATGCAATGATGTAAAAATCCATGGGGATATGAAACTACTAGTAAGAGCTAGTGTGGCACAATGGCTTGAGTTTTGCAGTGTTACTCGGGAGATTCAACTTCAAGACCTTACTGAGCCATGAAATTTACCAGGTCACCTCAGATCAGTCATGATGTATCTCATAGTAGTTGCATAAATGCACTATTTACAGTGGCTACAGCAGTCAGCTTATGATGCCAAAGGATTTGTCAAGTGAAAATACCTTTGCCTGTTGGCAGATCATCACAAGGTGGACTTCCTTTGCCAAGGTGTTCCTAGAAGCAGCCACTGAGAAAGCCCTGTCTCAAGTTCCATTAAAGGCACTTTAATGGAACTTGAATTTGCATCCCAATTTTGACAGAAAAAAGTGCCTCCTTAAAGATCTTTAAAACAGGCAGGCTTGAACGGGAGAATATAGTCCTAAAAATACATCCTACGTCAGGTTGATCTTTGTAGGTCAGAACCATTTGCGTTGGGAAATGGAACAGTGCTGAGTGCACCAGTTGATAACATGGGGATCATAGACTCCTAATTGGCTCCCGTCAGCACAAGGAAGATAGTTGCAGCCATAAACAGTGACAAAGTTCCAGCCCAACCATAATCTGACATTTTTGGTTGATTAAATTTGCATCCCATGTTTTACCTCCACGAATTTCAAGCCAACTCACAGACACACGCCTTTTTTCTGTATTTTATCCTCACAACATTATTGGGAACAGTGTAGTAGCACAAAGGCTTCACACATCAAAGCTGATCACAATGTTTAGAATGTGGCCAAGCCTTTAGCAAAATTATTAAGTGGATGGTTTTGTTTACAGAAACTATCTAGGCTATTAAAACCACACAGAGGGCTAGAAAGAAAACCTGTATTGGAAGGTAAGATGAAAAGGGAGACTGAAAAAGCTGCAACACCATACATGACTTTGAACCAGTGAAGTTAAGAAAATTCAGCCTCCAGAGCTCAAGAAGCCAACAGACATGGATAAGGCGAGGCAGCCAACCCTAGCAAGCCAGTCTTGAATTTCTGTGACCGTATAGGTAAGAGTTAGTTACTATGATGTCCATACAAGTCCTGCCCTATGTTAATAAAGAATACATCAAGGGTGGGCAACTTGAGGCCTGCCAGAGGTTGTTGGGCTACAAGTCCCATCAACTTAATCACTGATTCTGCTGGGTGGGGATGGTAGGAATTGTAGTTCAAGGACATTTTGAATGCCATGACTAGATTGTTTCCTAGAACTTGAGATTAAATTAAGGAGTTTGCTAGAGAATTGAGTCTTAGAATTTACTTAGAAAATATGCCCTGTTGATTGGAAAGCTTGAACATGCAATGTGAGGTTTTTGCACTTCACACTCAATGGTTTTACACTTTGCGATTCAAAGTACACAAGAGATAAAACAAGCTTCAGTCAGGAACAGATACCATTAGATAAGGTACTTCTGTATGTAAAGGAAAAACTGCTAACAATTTTGTGTGATTATTTACTACAATTAAAAATGCAAGATGAAATAGTTAAAAAATGTAAAATGGGCCTAAAATGTGGGCCACAATATTAACCTGGAGTCATGGTCACACGCATGGGAAAACAGTATTAACAAAATCAGTTAATCATAAAGAAAATAGATATAAAATGTTCTACAGATGGTATCTGACACCTGAAAAATCATCAAAAATATATCACAATACCTCTAACAAATGCTGTTGAATATAGTACCAGATACAACAGAAAAAGAAAAAAGATACTTGATTATACATGTAACTACAGCAGCAAGACTCTTATATGCAAAATACAGGAAAAGTGGGGAGACACCAAAAATACAGGCTTTAATAGAAAAAAGTTTTTGAGGCAGCAAAGATGGATATTTTAACTGAAGCGTTAAAGGACAAAGAAACTGGTGAGGCTAGAAAAAAATTGGAACCTTGGTATAATTGGATGAGAGATGAAAATATGAATGGGTAAGATTATAAGAAAGGCTTGGAAAAAATTGGCAAGATTAGATTGAAGTAAACTTAGTAAAAAATCATAAAGGTAAAAGTAATAATGATATAAATTGTTCTGTGCCACATTGTGCATTTTTATCTATTCTTTACCCCTTTCCAGACCCCCTTATCTATGATCTTCCCTGACCCAATGATTTTTTTTTTAAAAAATGGTTTTACACTTGGCACTAGAGTGCCCCTGGATCAAGGGGTGCTTGCTTGAGAGGACTAACACCCACATGAGTTCCCCTTTTGTATAGTATCAGGCAATCACACTGGGCAGAAGGTGGACAAAAGTGATGTCAGCCTAACCACAGCAAATTTAAACCACCCTGGTGACTGAACAAAAAAGATGGGACCCAACTCATAATGGACAATTCTGCAACAAGCTTCCTCACATTGAGCTTTATGTCATAAAGTTGCTGGGATCCAATGTGCCAGATTCTATGCAAATTGTGGGGTAAATGACCAATGTATTTGCCCCTGATACTAACTGCAGGGTTCTGGCACAGGGGGAAAAAAGCATTTTTTAAAACTTGGGATATACCATATTTTTTGCTCCATAAGACGCACTTCCCCCCCCCAAAAAAAGTGTGGGGGGGAGTCTGTGCGTCTTATGGAGCGAAGCTGGTGATTCTGCCCCCACCGGCCCCGTGGGGGAAGCCTCGCAAGGGTCCAAGTGAGCCTTCCAGGACCCTTGCGAGGCTCCTCCCATCCCCCACAGGGCCAGCAGGGGCAAAATCACGACCTTCCAGGACCTTTTCTGAGCCTTTCAAGCCTCAGAAAAGCTCCTGGAAGCTGGCGATTTCGCCCCCCGCTGGCCCCGTGGGGGGCACAGTGAGCCTCCAACGGGTCCTAGGGGGTGTTCCATAAGATGGACCTCTCCATAAGGCTCACCAAATTTCTAGGAGAAGAAAACAATTATTATTTTCCTTTTTTCTTCTCCTAAAAATTTGGTGCGGCTTACGGAGAGGTGCGTCTTATGGAGCGAAAAATATGGTAATTTTTATGATTACAGGAATAAACTATAATAGCATGATAGTATGCTAATAGGAACATTTCCAGGTCCAATCCACAAAGATTCAAAGATCCTCCTGCTTGTCCAACTGAACCATTAAAAAAATTCTCATTTTTGTGTGTGAAGCAGACATTTTCATTTTCATGGCAAACTAAGGAGTATCAGTTCTTTGCAATCAACTTCAGTTTTTACAGTTCTATTATACATGTAAGCTGTATATATTTATTCCCCACTCCACCCTTTTGTTTCTTTTTTTTTTCATTTAGTGTGTCAAGGCTTTTTGGGAAGATTTTACAACTCTTTAAAAGAAAAATATTCTGATTTCTCCGTGGCTTCTATAGAAAGTGAATTAATCAGGACCTGCCGGAACACAAAAGGAAAAGAAAACCGTTTGGTATGGCTGCCTCCCCTTTGTCACTCATTTTCTTGAATATTTCTGATAGTTAGGTTCAAATGCTTCTAACCGTGAGAGGTAGTGGGGTGGGGAGGCTACTTCTTCTGACCCTAAACACTAACACTAAATTGGTGCATTGAAAACAGGGTTTCTCTTTCTTTCCCTTTCTGTAGTGCTACTACCTTGGGGCCACAAGTGATGCAGCAACTAAGATTGTTAGTGAAGTCAGCCGTCCAATGAGTGCTCATGTACCGGTGCCTAAAATCTGTGAGAAGCTGAAGAAGGCAGACATTCAGATCTGTGAGCTCAAATATGGTAGGATGAAATCTCCATGCAGAACAAATGAGAGCAAACAGAACATTACTACTCTTCTTAATGGGAGGCACTGTTTGCTTCTACCAATTCAGTGGCTCCATTCTCAAAGCTAATGAAACGTTTGCCATGGACTTCATTATCTCTGCACATCAATAGTTTTGTTTTCAAGTTTTATTTTCAGAAAATCAAGAGGGGAACAAGTTTTACTGAGATTAAATTTGATTTCATTCTTTAAGGACTGATCATCACACATTTTGTCTTTTTGCTGGGTGATTCATAAGGTTTAAATTTCCCCACTTGTTACATTAAAAAGAGTATATGAAGGCAAAAACAGACATTAGAAATAGATTTAGCTGTAAGTTTTTAAGTGTTGTCATGTGGCTTCTAAGTTATGGTAACCTTACACATTAACAATGTCCAGAAAGTCTTCTCATTTCACAGTTCTGCTCACATCTTGCAAATGAAAGGCTGTGGCTTCCTTTAATGAATCCATTAATCTCATGTTAGGTCCTCCTTTTCCTCTCTTCCAACTGCTTTTTGCTTTTCCTAGTTTTCTTGTCTTTTCCATTTAACTCTTTTCTTCTTGTGATATATCAAAAGGTAATTGAAATAGTCCCCTACCCCCTTTTTTTTTTGGTGATAGCTTTTGCTGGGGGTGGGTGGGACATGTATCTCTTTGCTGTAAGATGAAGTAGATAGCAAAAACAGTATATGAAGTGAGCTATTTCTTCTTACAGAAAGAAAACTTGACTTAACATCAGTAGACCTGTCTAAGCTGAAAGTGGCTGAGCTGAGGAAGATCTTGGAGAACTGGGGAGAAGTCTGCAGAGCATGCATTGAAAAAACTGACTTTGTGGACCTGATCAAGGAGCTTGCACCAAAGCATATGGCTTCAGCTTCCAGAGCAGAGCTTTGATGGAATGTCACTGTATCTAAACACATCCCTGCTGACCCCTACCAAATTAGATACCTTTGGCAGTAAGGCCATGGGTTTGCTTAAATGAATAAAAGGTCTGGGAGGAGAAGCAAAGGACTCAGACAGCTGAAGATAAATACAAAATTCTTTGGATTTGAATTAATAATAAATGCTGACAAACAGTGATAGCAACACCTTCTCCCCAACTCACTTTGTGATAAGAATCACCCCTTTCTTGTAGTTCTTCAGTTAACGTCACTGTGGGAACATACAGTTTTTTCACTGTTTAAGCCTGCAGTGGCTTCTTTCTTAGCTATGTGTCCTATTAAAAGGTCTCCTACTCAAGATAACCTGTTGCCCCTACAGCGTATTACCTTGACTGCAGATACAAGGACACCATAAGCATTTGCAGGGCTTTTGAGAAACAAACTGTAGGTCCCTGCCCCAAAGGGCTTCCAATTCACACAGGGAAGAGGGAAAAGGCAAAAAGAAAGGGTGTACAACAGTAGAGGCAGTTTCTCCAGAGACATGTATTCTCCATCTTGGGGTTCAACCAGAGTTAAGCATGCAACCAAAGAAAATGGATCTAAAGGGGAAGGGACAACACCTCTACGCTGAGTTCTCCATGTTTCAAAACTAGGGGGCACTCTGGGGAGCAACCATTAGTCTGCTGTCAGGGACAGTGGGGAGCTGTATCCGAACTGAGACTCTGAAATCCAAACAGGCTATGCGGTTCCTCAAAGAGTGACTCTCTGAACCTCACACATTTCCCCCTTGTGAGGTTAAAGGTATACAGTATTTTGAAGTAGAGGAACTCATCATGAACTTATCATGGCCCCAAGGAGAGACACTCTCCACAGGAAAGAGAGGGGGAGACAATAAGGGAAAGAGAAATATCTTATGGCTTAAACACCGAGCTGCCTCTGGAAAAAGCTATTGTGAGGAGAAAAAAAACCTCATAAGTACAACTGATATTCTGATCAGCAGTCAACAGGGGATGCTCTTGCCAAATTGTAACCCTGTACCTTTTGATAATTAACTCAGCAGGTATTATACGGAAAAGTTTCACAGTGGGTACCTGACACTTTTTGGAGTAATGTTAGTTACAGTTAGGTCCAGAAATAATCGGATACTGTCACAAGTTTTGTTATTTCAGCTGTTTACTAAAGTAATTTCAAGTTAGAGTTAAATAATGAATTTGGTCTTAAAGCGCAGTCTCTCAGCTTTAATTTGAGGGCATTCACATCCAAATTGGAGGAAGGGTTTAGGAATTATAGCTGTTTATATGCAGCCCTCTTTTTTTAAGAGACCAAAATAATTGGACAATTGACTCAAAAGCTATTTCACAGCCAAGTGTGGGCTAGTCCTTCATTACTTCATCATAAATTTAAGCAGGTAAAAGGTCTGGAGTTGATTTCAGGTGTGGCATTCACTCTCTAGAAAGCAGGCATATCATTATCCAAGTCTACCATAAAGAGAAGACTTTACAAGAGCAAATACAGAGGGTTCACCACAAGGTGCAAACCATTCATAAGCCTCAAGAATTAAAAGGCCAGATTAGACTTTGTTAAAAAAATCTTTAAAAGCCAGCCCAGTTCTGGAATAGCATTCTTTGGACAGATGAAACTAAGATCAACCTGTACCAGAATGATGGGAAGAAAGAAGTATGAAGAAGGCTTGTAACAGCTCATGATCCAAAGCATACGACATCATCTGTAAAACATGGTGGAGGCTGTATGATGGCATGGGCATGCATTACTTCCAATAGCCCTGGGTCACTAGTGTTTATGGATCTGACAGAAGCAACCGGATGAATTCTGAAGTGTATATAGATATGTATTCTCGAATACATATTCCTATGTATTTGGATGTATATGGATATATTGTCTGCTTGAATTCAGCCAAATTCAGCAAAGTTGATTGGACAATGCTTCACTTTACAGATGGACAATGACCCAAAACACACTGTGAAAAAAAACCCATGAGTTTCTTATGGCAAAGAAGTGGAATATTCTGCAATGGTTGAGTCGATCACCTGATCCCAATTCGATTGAACATTCATTTCACTTGCTGAAGACAAAACTTAAGGTAGAAAGACCCATGAACAAACACCAAAGACAGCTGCAGTAAAGGCCTGGCAAAGCATCACAGTGGAGGAAACCCAGCGTTTGTCATTGTCCATGTGTTCTAGACTTCAAGTGTTCATTGCCTGCAAAGGATTCAAATGTATTTAAAATGAACATTTATGATTGTGTTAATTTGTCCAATTACATTTGAGCCCCTGAAATAAGGACACTGTGTATGAAAATGGATGCAATTCCTATACGTTTCATACAATATTTTTGTTCAGCTCCTTGAATTAAAGGTGAAAGTCTGCACTTCAATTGCATCTCAGTTGTTTCAAATCTATTGTGGTGGCGTACAGAGCCAGAATTATAAAAATGTGTCAGTGTCCAATTATTTCCAGACCATACTGTAATTCCCACTGTGTGAAGCTCAATTCTTTTCCAGTCTTGAATACATACATATATTTTTATGTATTTGAACTAGCTATTCCTTGAACAGATTATCCAGAGAGAACAAAATGATATTATTCTATATTTTGGCAAAGCATCAGCCTTTCTGTGTAGCCTACTATTACTTATTAAAAATATTTACATAACCCTACCTTGCTCTTCTAGGGCATCCAGTCCCACTAGTCAATATCTGTGCCATCATCAACATAATTCCCCTTTCCAATCCAGAAAGGAATGCTGACTTTTTTTTAACTTGTTGGGTTTTTATTTTTGTGCACTGAAGGATAGTGTGGAGCCATTTGGTATATTATTGTCTGTAGAAATGAAAACACAAAAGAGTGGCCAAGACTGAAGGCTGTTTCATCACGTAAGACTATGTTTTCAGTGCTGTTCCATCTGACATAGAGAACACAGACATTTTTTGGGTCTTATGCATCTGAGCACCCTTAAGCTGAGAAAGAGCATAAACATACAGCTGCAGAAACTGCAGTACAGATTCCATAAAAAAAATCTGGAACAGATTTTAAATAGTGTCAGGGCTATAAAAGACACACATTCCTCATACATTTTCTTATAAAATATATTTTATTTTTCCTTGCCCCTTAGTTTGCATAAATATTTACAAAATGTACTGTGAAAAGTAGAAAGTAATGTAGAGAACTATTAGTACAGTTTTCAAGTGGTAAAAACAATGGAGGGGGAACAAACAATATATGGACAGAGATACTGTACATGTAGCTCCTATGAAACGTTATCCTGTTCCATTCAGTAAGTTAGATTCAGACAGGATTTACCCAGCAGATAAAATGAGGCATGAACAGTCAGAGGAGTCCCCAAACAGTCATTTTCTGAATAACTGCCCAGTGCCTAATTGTGTACTCAGAATTCTTATTTGGCCCATCTGTTTGGAATTTTGACCACTCCAACCAGCAAATGTATAAGAAGTGAGGCAGAGTCACAAGATATTGTTTCTTGTTTCTTCATATTAATTCTCTTTACCTTTCAATTTACAAAATTAAACCTTTCATTTCAGATTCTGTTAATTACCTAAATGCTGAGAACATACAACAGACTCCTGTCATCTTTTATTACCATAGCTTATTCCATGGTCACTGGCACAGAACAGGATTAAGTACTTGCTGATATTTCCAAAAGATCAGGGTTAAATAGGCGGCTCCTGTTATTCTACAGCTCTGGAAAGATTTGATGTTTTAAGGAAGGTGACCAAGGCCCTAAATTCTGCCCAAAGCTTCTACTGCCACATCTTCTATTTACAAATATCAGACATACACCGGTTTAAATTTCTCACTTGGCAAACATATGGTGAACAAATAACACCTCTTAAAAGAGTATGATGTAGCTTTGAACCCTTTAGGTTATTTATTTCTACTCTGTAATTTGAACAGCTTTCAACATTACCACATCAGCATGTTCTCACACGTGACACAGAAAGATTCAAAACTTTACTTTGTTTTCCTTTAAACACAACAATCATAGAGGAAATTTAGGGGACAGTTAGATTTACTGACAAATCTTATGCCATCTTCTAAATATAAAGTATTTTGCAAATGATTAATTTGCTTTTCTTTCCTATACCTTTCAGGCAACTACATATTACATACATCAACACATCCCATAAAGCAGCCTTGGTGCAAGACCAAAGTACTGTACAGTACATATACTTCTAATACTGAAGTAGTGAGACATCTAGTGGCTATTTAGAGTAATTACTCAGCTTTCCACTTTCCTACAATTATTTTAGAAGCACACTCTCTCATGGTTCACACATTACAAAATTAACAGTTAACCCCACATCAACAGTGTAATCCAGAAAGTGCAAGAGGCAAAATATTTTTGCATGTACGAACTATAACGAAATTTAAATGGTTCCACAAATATTACAGTTAAGGGGTACATTATATTGCCTATTAAAGCCTAGTCAATTTATCATAGCATGTGCTTTTTGGATTATAATCACTGAATGCACTAAGCGTTACTTGAATTTCAGACGTTTATTCACATGGCTTGGGTGGGATCACAGACAGTGACATCAGAGGGAAATTAAATGGAAGGTACTGGATAACGGTGCATATACCAGTTTTCATAATGTGCAAAATGGTCCTCTCATACATCCTTTCAAATTAAACCTGTACGAATTTTAATCTAAAATATGCTAATCTCACTTGTGACATTTTTTTAAAAACTTCAAAAAAACTATTGCTTATATTAAAGCAGCATTTAAAAATACAATACAAAATTCACATTTGTAAAGGAATTTGCCTGCAAGTTGAAGTTTTAATTCCTTTAATATTTCTGGGAACTGATACCTCACAATTCGGCGAGATTCTTAGAGTCTTGCTGTTATTTTGAAAAATGCATGAGGAAATGTGTACAACCATCAGCACACTCATACGTAAATTAATCATAATGTCTTTATATATTCAAATATAACAGCCAAGAAATGGTGATCATGTATGGTAGATGTAACAAGTCTAGAACAGAAAGTGTAGCCTCTTCTGCTGCAATCCTATGCACAGCTGCCTGAGATTCCCAAAAAGAATGAGGCCATGTTGATCTATATAAATAAAACCAAATTCAACATTCACTAAAGGGCAGTACCTTTATTAGGATCAACTATAAATGCACACACAATGTGTAAGCTCTTAAAAAGTGTGCTGCTTAAAAAGTGTGCTTAAGTTCTCCATAACTCCTCATCAGATGAGATGGCAAAAAAGATGAATGAGGGAAAAGGCACAGAAGTCCAACTATTTGGTTAGGTGTTTCAAGCCACGGAGAACTGCAGTCAAACTTAGTTCCCCATTTGAAAATGGGGCTTCATGAGTCACAAAGTTGTGCAGATATCGCAGGACCTCTAGCAAAGCCCACTGAGATGGATAATCGCTTTTCTTTGCAAGGCAAAGACAACAGCAACATAATCTGCATTTAGCCATATGGGAAACTCACAAGTTCCTTTGGATGCTTCAGCAGAACTGCAAAGAAACCTCAGTGTGATTAAGCAAAAGAGTCAATTAAGGCCAGATGGAGCAATTTTTTGCTTAGTTTTTACCAAGTACACGAGAGTTAGTCAGACTGAACTTACTAGGACCCATTTCTGTGTTGCCATTCATAGGACTGCACTGCAAAATCAGTAAGCTCAGCCACCAATCATTCTTACAAGCTTTTTTTCTTTTCTGCAAGATTTCTGACCACTGCCTATACTGTAAGGTGCAATATCCATTCTGGAATTCAGAAACTGAGTAATGCTTAAGAACTGTTCCAGCATCACATGTGCACAATATTAATACAGATGTCATAAACAAAAGGTATGGTTTTTCCCTCAAAGGTAATGGGAAAGAACGCATTCCCTGGCCCCTAACTCAGTAGTTTCTAACCTTGGGCAACTCAGGTGTTCTTTGACTGCAATTCCCAGATGCTTTCACCACCAGCATTTCTGGGAATTGCAGTCCTAGAATACCTGGGTTACCCAAGGTTGGGAACCACTGCCCTAACCTGTTTATTTTACTCAGTGTCCTCCAAAATACGAACTTCTGTATCAGTTTTGTTCTTTAATTGAGTTCTAGCTGAGTGATCATTGACAAAACACACTATACTTTACATATGTTTTTCATAGCAATGATACAGTGGACCCTCGACTTACAGACGGCTCAACTTACAGACTTTTCGAGTTACAGACTTCTCTGGCCACAAAATTTAGATTCGACTTGCAGCCGGAGAATCGACTTACAGACCAGAAAAAAACCAAAATGGAACAAAAATAGAATAAAAACCGCTGGTTATGGGATTAATCGGTTTTCAATACATTGTAGGTCAATGGAGATTCAACCTACAGACTTTTCGACTTGCAGCCACTGTTCCAATACGGATTAATTCCGTAAGTAGAGGGTCCACTGTATTCTTCTTATAATCATTTTCTGTATCACTAGTCTGGAATTAGAAATTTATGAAATGAACCAAGTACCTCAGCTCATCCCTGTGGTAGTTTTGTATGGAATATGATTCTGGCAGCAATCTGGGTCAAGCCACACCATTTTCCTGAACTGCAATTTAGACTACTGGTTCTTAACCTTTGTTACTCAGATAGTTTTGGACTGCAACTCCCAGAAGCCTTCACCAACAGCTCTGCTGGCTGAGGTTTCTGGGAGTTGCAGTTCAAAAACACCTAACAAAGGTTAAAAACCACTGATTTAGACAACAGTCCGTTACTACAGAATGCTAGGAAAGGGGTAACACCCTTCTGGCAGCAATCTGGGTCAAGCCACACCGTTCTCCTGAACTGCAATTTAGACAATAGTCTGTTACTACAAAATGCTAGGAAAGGGGTAACACCTTGAGGTGGCTAGTCAATGGAGGAAAGGCATAATAAAGTGGGACTAGTCAGTGATAATACTGTTAATGCCCAAAAAGAATTAGGCAGTCAGAAGGATCTACAAAATATTGAGCTTCTGGCACATTCTATTTGGGGAGCTTTGGGAGAAGAGTACGAGGAATCGGTTCCCCACTCAAACCTTGGTGGTGGGGTGCAAGAAACCAGGAAAAAAAGACCCAAAGTAGTGAGTGTTTTTAGGGAACCAATATATTTATTCGAATAAGATAAATTATGCTTATTCTACATTGCTTTTTGGCTAGTGACTCTTAAATTCCATTCATATGATTCTTTACTAACTGAAACCAATGCCCAAGGAGACCCTGCAGCTGTTTTATACTCGTAAAATGTTTCTTAGGTTATGATAAAATCTTTTCCCCTCACATCTCATAAATCCTGGCTTTTTTAAATGATGAAGTCTAACCCAGCTCTGCTACATGCCCGGTTGTGTTTCTGATGGGGAAAAGAAGGGAAGCTCATTAGGAGCATGGATGTTTAAACCACTCTCCCAATATCAAGGAAAAAGCTTTTTGAAGGATGAAGGTTTAGTTTTTACTGTGAAGAGTGGTTATAGCTACTTCTTAACACAGGGAGGAGCTAGGAAATGTATTTGCAAGCTGCCTTTTTTACTCAAAAGTAACAGGTAGGGATAAACTATGATGCTGGATAACATATTATGTCCTGACCAGTATCATTTATTTAAAATACTTATACCTCAACTGTCTCTTTAAGAGGACCCCAGTAAATGACTGTTCAGCAGAAAAAAGTCTACTACTAGCTTCTTGATCCCAGCTTTTAAAAATAAAACAGCAAAATAAAACATATTAAAGACTACAGTTCTTACACAAATTAATCTTTAAAGATCTATAACTATTCAAGTACAGTATACTTTTCTGAAGCAGCACTAATAAATTAGGAACATGACCAACAAAAACACAAATAAATAGATATTTCAAACGTAGAAACATTTTGAGAACAAAATCTCTAAGCCCATCTTACAGTAACTTCTCGTTTAAAGATTTTGGTAAAAATATAGCCATGTTTTAAGCATTCCTGTTAACAAATGTAAGAAAATTGAGGTCTGTGTTTTTTAAAAATATCACATCTTTCAAACATATGCAGCCAAAACTGTTTCTTTATGAATAAGGCAAAAGTCTTTTAAAAAATATAGATAATGTATATATGAAGATATAGCCTTAAAAGGTACCACTACTGTAGTACTTGAGGATGAGTGATTTACTCCTGTGCATCCAAGAAGGTCATGCTCCTCCTCACTCGTGTAGAACTAAAGAGTCCACTGCATGTCACTCAGCTCTGCTGGATCACCCAGGCCTCCTTCAGCTTCCAAATAATTCATAAGAGCAGCCATGGCAGTATCGTTTTCACATACTGTATCAAAATCCAATTGAGAAGCATCACCTAACAAAACAAAAAGTATCACAATAAAATTGCACAAACAGCATCATCAATCCATTATTTACTCTGAAACATTCAATTTTTCTTTTGGACACAGAACTTTACTTGGTATCCGATCTTTCCTTATCTGTAGCTGTTGTAAGATGGGGAAAACTAAAAACTTACAGTTGAAACATTTAACTAGTAGGTTATGAATAGGAAACCAGTCCCACAAATCTTCAGTAGCTTAACCCCCTCATCAGAACTGACAAAAGATCTGAAAGGATCAGTTTCTTCTGCTACTTCAATACTGACCTCTTTTTCCCAAGAGAGAGAAGGGGGGGAGGAGAAGAATTTTTTCCATAAAGTAATTATTCCTTTATTATGCAGTGCCATCACATCCTTTATAGGGATGTGGTGGCGCTGCAAGTTAAACTGCAGAAGCCTCTGTGCTGCAAGGTCAGAAGACCAGCAGTCGTAAGATGGAATCCACGCGATGGAGTGAGCTCCCGTCGCTTGTCCAGGTTCTGCCAACCTAGCAGTTCGAAAGCATGTAAAAATGCAAGTAGATAAATAGGTACCACCCCAGTGGGAAGGTAATGGCGTTCCATGTCTAGTCGCGCTGGCCACGTGACGAAGATCCATGTCTAGTCGTGCTGGCCACGTGACGAAGAAAAACTGTCTATGGACAAACGCTGGCTCTATGGCTTGGAAACGGGGATGAGCGCCGTGCCCTAGAGTCGGACACGACTGGACTAAAATGTCAAGGGGAACCAGTACCTAATTATTCCTTTTGGGTTACTTGTGTGCCATAAAAGTAGTATGTTATATCTAACAGTAACAAGGCGTTGGGCACTGTGGTTTCAAGTGATTTCAGAAACAAGATCTTAAAGTATAAATTGACAAGGAAGTAACATGTATTTTTATCATTTCTGTCCACAAGTGGTTATGTAATTACACATACTATGGCCCAAATTTGGCTTTAGACTGCCAGGCCTACACTGCTCTTTACCTATTTAATTAGACCTACAGCTGTGCTAGGAAAGAGATCACATGTAAAATGGCTATCCTTGCACATCCTCTTCCTTGGTACAATTAGACTGCCAAACAGTGAGCCAAGTTATATCTGCAGATCCTCTTCTCCATTTAAACTGCACTTCTGACAATGTATTTGGCAAGCTGTCAGGAGTACAATTTAAACAGGGAAAAGTGCACATTGGAGAGCAATACATAACCACATTGTAAAGAACACATCCCTTCATTTAACTTACACACCTCCTACGCCTTCATCTAGCTGACCAGCCTAAGAGACAGTAAAGTGACCATAAGCCACATTCAGTCATCCTGTAAAACAGGACCATATACACAATTAAAAGGGGAGCAGCTAGCCCTGCCCTCTCATCACTCCAGACACAAGGAGGAACTTTTCCAGGAGGGCTGCTCAAGGGTGGAGCCTACACACAAACAGGAACCCTTCCTCTTTAGCCTCGTTTCTGTGCAATGAGAAGGGGAGTCTGTGAGCATACATGCATGGGCCTCTAATTCTCTATGATTTTCAGGGTCAAAAAAGCTGCCCACCTCTTCTTATTGCATGATATTTGAATATTAAAATAGATTTTAAATAAGATTCCAACGCACCAAGAATTTCCTTTCAGATAGTTTACACACAGAACCTCAGTCAATCTGCACAGTCACACGGAAAAGCTGGAATGTGATTGTCAAGTGCCTTGAATGAATAACCACTGGCTTTGGTTAAGTTCTTATCTATCAGCTGAATTTTTTATGAATATACTGTATTTGAAAATGTCTCATCTTAAAAAGATTCCAGATTTGTTTTTAAGCTCATTATTTACACATAATTATGAAGTGAATGTTGAAAGGCACAAATGGCGATTCAAATTGTGGCACAATTGTCTGAAATTGCTGTGATACATTACATATATGTGGCATAACTATAGTATCTCTGGTTAGGAATACAGTGGTGCCTCGCTTAACGAGCGCACCGTTTAACGACGAATCCGCATAGCGACACGTTTTTTGCGATCGCTAATGCGATTCATTGCGATGTTTAGATAGGCTAGACATCACATTGCGATGTTTAGAAAACAGCTGATCGGCGGTTCCAAAATGGCTGCCGGGTGCAGAAAATGGCCACCCGCAGCGTTTTCGCGCCCTGCCCTCACTTACCGGGCAGCGAAAATGGCGGCCAGATGGGGGAATCTTCGCTTACCAGTGAGTTTTCCCCCCAATAGGAACGCATTAAACTCCATTAAACGGAGTTTAATGCGTTCCTATGGCCCCCCCCGCATAGCAACGAATTTGGATAGCGATGTTAATCCTGGAATGGATTAATGTCGTTATGCGGGGCACCACTGTATCTATTTGAATCCAATCAGAGAATACTCGGAAAGTACACAAATTTATTTTAATTTCAGCTTTGTATTAGCAGGGATACAGGTAATGTCAAACTGGTAGGAAATGAAGAATTGTCAGTTAGATAATCTGGATCTTCAGAGACCATGTGTATTTTTACAATAAATTAAGAAGAAAAAAGCTTACTGAGCAGAGGTTCATTGGTGGGGAATGAAACAGTGCTCTGATTTTGCCCTGTAGTTTCCAAATCCTCTATTCCTGGAGGACATAGCTGAGTAAGGTCTTTGTTTGGCACCTGAGAATACAGTACGGACAAATTGTATGTATTTTTTTAAAAAAACATTCAATCATATTACAGATATCAATCAAAGAAATAAATGTTAACTGTTAAAGTAACATTAGTCAAATGGGTTATATTAAAGTTGAGAAAGTACACACAGCAACAATTGAGTAATTGGCCATAGTAATGTTGCCTAAAATCAGAACTGATTCTTACACAAATATTGGATTAAAAGGCTACAATCCAATATAGAGCAAAAAAACAAACAAACAAACTTAAGAGCCACTGACAATCAGTGAAATTAAGCAAAATTAATGCTGTGCTGTATTGTAGCCTTAAAAGGAGCTTAACATAATAGAACAATGACTATCCTAAATGAGGCCGCTCCAGGGGGAGTCACCCACAAGTAATTGTTGGTTTTATTTGAATAGTCTATAGACACATGAAGTAGACAAACCAGGTAAAATAAAATGAGCATGTGCTTGGAAAACATTATTGAACAGCAATTAATAAAAACCATGAACTTTACAGAGTTGTCAGACTTGGGTGGCTTAAATTAAGGTGTTAAAACCAGCAAAAATATGTTGATGCAAAAAAAAAAACCCTGATTTTTCATGCATTTTCTGAAACCACCAAACCATACAGCCTTTACACTAAAAATTTTATTGCAGTATTTACAATGTTTCATCCTTACAGTCAAGCCTTGAATCTCTTTACACACACTCTGTATTTGCAGATATTTATTTTTTAAACTGAAGAATGAATGTCTTTAAAATGTTCCTATGCAGCAGAGGGGGGGAAACCTTGGGCACTGCCTACTGTCTATTTGGACGCCAGCTTCTGGAAGCTCAAGCCAACATGATCGGGGAGGGGGGGAATGATGGCAAATTACTAGAGAGCAAAGGTTTCCCCAAACTCCTTGTTATAATTAGCATGCACATTTATCAGGCTGGATAACAATTCTACCCACACTTACTTCAGAGTACACATGCATTGTTATGTATAGGAATATGGGCAATTGCCCACTAGACAATTCTGCTTTCTCCTTTTTTCCCCCAGTGTTGTTCTTTTCTGATTCATTCTGTCTTAGCCCAGCCCCACCCTTACAAAAATAAAGCAGCAAACAAAAATGAAACACCATGACCAATAAATCAGGTGCAAATGAAAAAAATGCCTATGTTTGAAAAACTGTAACTGTTTATATCTGAGAAATGAGCTGATCTTTGGTCTGATTTCTTTTAATTAACTGATTTTACTCTACTATGCTTGTTTTTATCCACTGTCACCCTTTGGTGGCAATATTCTGCTGTCAATATACCAGCAGAAATATTTTTGTCTATACAGTGGTGCCTCGCTTAAACGGAAGAGCTTCAAAAGCACTGAAGCCGGCTTCAGTGCTTTTGAAGTCCTTTCCGATGTCCATTTTCGCTCATTTTTAAGTGTCTTACAATGTTTGGAACCTGTTTTAAATGCTTGCAATCGTTAGCCCACCTCCTGAACTCTATGCAACCTTAATTTGGTGTTGTTCTGAGTCGTCGTTAATTTTTGGTGATTTTTTGTTTTCTCCATTGAAAGCCTTTGAACGGACCATTCAAAGGCTTTCAATGGAGAATTTAAAAAATCACCAAAAATTAACAACGACTCAGAACAACACCAAATTAAGTTTGCATAGGGTTCAGGAGGTGGGCTAACGATTGCAAGCATTTAAAACAGGTTTCTAACAGTTTAAGACACTTTTACAGGAGAGAAAAAGGGACATCGTTAAGTGAAATTCCCCCATAGAGAACATCGTTAAACAATGGGGGAAATTCCTCAAAGAAACCCATCGCTGTGTGAATTCATTGTTGTATGAAGCAATCGTTGTGCGAGGCACCACTGTACGTACTCAAAACTTTCCTACTCAGTAACAACAGCCTCTATCATGAGTTATATATGTGACAGGATCCCCATACGGAATAAGGAGAGGGTTCCCTTGTTGCCACGTGTTATCACCTCTGTGCATCAAGCAGCAGCTCTGTGCAGCGTAGGTCCAATTGTGCAATCATCCCAATCATGTGCCTCTTCCCAAGTGTTGGCTGGCCACATGATGTCATGCATCAGGAACAGCCCCACTCTATCCAGGGACTCCCTTTAGGCACGTTAGCAGACATTCCATCAAATCCAATCTCTCATGTCATTCAACAGAGATCCTTTTTTGGAGGCCAGTGACTTATGGATACTCACATTACTACAGTTTACTGTCAGAACTGGAGAAGATGACTTCCTCATAAGATCTGATGGGCTTAATTCACCAAGAGGGGGAGAAGTATGTGACCTTGATAAAACAAGAGATAACATGTAATCATAATCACATTGATTTCAGTAACAACTCAAAATGTGGCTTGGCTAGGGCTCGATAACAAACATTTTTAATTTGTACCACCATGTTGGAAGCAAAAATACACATAGTGACTGCAATGTGCTCACACTTACTCACTGATGTGCTCACATCCACTCAAAGATACTATTTTTTCCTAGTCATTTGGTTCCTGTTTGAGCTGCGTCATGTTCATCCATAAAAAGGTTTAAAATTCAATCCGAATGATCAAGCATGTTTTGCTGAAAAGTAGTTCATTTTGTAGGCTAAAATGTTTATTATTTTATTATATTTTGATAGGACAATATGCTAATTTTGAACCAGAATGATAGCTCAACAAAACTGAGAGGGAAAGAAAATGAAATACCCAAGGGCTTGTTTATATATACGTACAAGAACTGCCCTTATTTGTAGATTCATGATAAAATGTAATGCAAATGTTTAAAACATTAAATTACGTAATTCCACGTTTCAAAGAGGTTAAATGAGACAAATATACTATCCTCTTTTTTTCAGAAATAAGTTTGATTAGAGGTTTTCTAGAAAGAATTAAAGTTACCTTTGTAAATCTAAGACCTCATTTGCAATATCAGTTCCTATGCTTCCAGCCCCAAGTACAGTTCCTGTAGACATCCCTGGTACACCAAGAAATGGTGGCTTTGGTGTTTCTATGTTTTAAGAGAAAAGAAAAACAGAATTATTCTAACTAAATGTTTGCTTACAATGCATCAGTTTATCTGAAGAAGTGGTCTTCTACTATACTCCGAGTGTGTCCTGTCATTTTAGTTTCGAAGCGCAGTAGTAGAATCTGCCAGTTTTTTTGATGGTGCTATAAATTTGGCAGCCAAAATTGTCTGACAAGTAGGATTAAACATATAAAAAGTAGATAACAAAAAGAGCATAAGGACAGCTGACTCATCATAATGTATAAGTAAGTTGGGATTTATGGAAATTTCAAGAATTCTGAGGAAAAGGAAGGCTGTTTTTTTGTTTTTGTTTTTTAAAGGAAAGAAAACCAATACAGCCCTCATGGAAACATTTGCCTGCTTCTTTTATTCTGATCATTTTATTTGTTAATGAAAAGTCTATAGTCTGTATTTGTTGCAACTGTGACCAACTTGCAGCCTTTGTGTAGAAACTGAAAACAGCTTGAATTGTGTAGCCCCATTACATATAACAGCATTTCTGGGAAGAACATGCATTGTTATTTCCACAATAAAAAAAAATGTACTTGCCTTCTGATGACAGGGAACTACAGGGGAGTAGTGCCTCCTCGCCCACTTCATTATGGCCTCTAGAAATTATCAGAAAAAATATACGTGAAGCACTATTTCCAGACACAAAGAATCTATTTTAATTTGTATTTTTGTATACCCTGTGTTGATGTTAAAATGATTGGAGCAAAATAAAGAATACCATATTTTTCTATAAAATGACACTTTTTCCTAAAATAATTAGAGGAAAAATTGAGTGTCATTTTATACATGGAAGGAAGCAGTCGGGCGCATTTTGATGCCACCACTGCTGCCCAATTGCCTCTTCCAGAGCTCACGGCTTGTCCCTTCTGGTGGCCCCGAGGCAGCAGCAGCAGGAGGCGGAGGCGATGGAGCATTCACACATGCTCAGGAGCCTCTTGGTGCTGCCTTCCTCGCCTGCCCGATCACCACCTCCACTGGGACTGACGGGCTCAGCTCATGTCACCGTCTTGTCTTCTCCGGTGGTGGAGGTGGAGGCAAGCAAGCATTCGCGCATGCTCGGGCACCTCTTCCTGCTGCCTCCACCAGATCACCTCCTCCCACAATCTCCTTAGGGCAGGGAACAAGGCAGCAACGTGAGCTGGAGGTGGGCAGTCGGCAGTCGCACTGGAGGAGGTGGGCAGGCGGGCAGCAGAGATGAGCCCCGGCAGTCACACTGGAGGAGGTGGGCGAGCGGGCAGCAGAGACAGCAGCAGCTGGAGATGGAGGTGGAGGAGCAGTTTCCCATTAACTCCTTCTCCACCTCCATCAAGGGTCAAAATTAGGGGGTTGTTTTATACATTGGGGACTCGTATACATGGTAAAATACGGTAAACACTTTTTCACATGTTGGTCGAAATAAATAAAAATTAGATAATGGGATCGTACTTGGCCATGCATTTAATAAAACAGGTAACTGAAACATATAAACACTGTTGCACTGAACTCTGTCTTTACTACCATTATCTACATACTGTGCTACCTCCATCTAAGAAGCAAACTTGGCCTCAACATCATCAGCCATGTGGATTTGGGACATTAATAACAGCATATAAGTTTGAAACGACCCAGAAGAACTTGATGCACAGCCTTGAAGAAGACAATTCATCATTGAAACCTCACTGTTTTGTTTTTTGTTTTATATTCTTAATGGTTAATTAAAGATATCGCCTGTTCCTGCATTTGTATACATTTTGCCTAGTAAGGATTATGATTTTCAGGACTATACATACTGGATGGTAAATTCAGTGGTACCTTGACTTACGAACTTAATACGTATTGGAACGGTGGCCATAAGTCAAAACGTTCGTAAGTCAAAGCACCATTTCCCATAGGAATGCACTGAAAACTGATTAATCTGTTCTGGCTGAAGAAAAAAAATACCAAAAAATTTAAAAAAATAACAAGTAGACCTGCGCCTTCAACGGGCTTACTCATGAGTAAACCAGCACTTTCTGCAGCACTTACTCAGGAGTAGACCTGCACCGCGCCATCTCTCTTTCCTCCTCCTGTGCCTCAGGAGTAAAAAAGTTCCCTAACTGTCTGCTCTAACCGTTGGGGCGAAAGAGCTACAAAGAAGCAGCCTCCTTGCCACCAGTGGTTTGAATTTCCTGCCTTTTCCCCCTGCCTTTTCCCATTCGTAAGTCAAAGCTCCGGCTACAAGTCAAAGCAAAATTTTGCAGCCAGAGCTGTTCATAATTCAAATTGTTCATAGGTCAGGGCGTTCGTAAGTCAAGGCACCACTGTATTTCCAACACAAAGAGCAACAGGACAGGATCCTGCTGTTACAATACAAATTACATTCACTCTACTGCACGTGAAAATAAATCTTATTTTGACTAAGAAAGGCCAAATGTTCTTTCACTGACATGATTCAGTGCAACAGATAATATATTCTCGGAAAACCTATTACTCCTTGCTATTTAGTTAAAAATCTAGAACAGCTTGAAAAAATGATGACAGACACTAAAATATTATCCATATTCAAGTGTGCAAAAGTACATATTTTTTCATTTCTAGACTTAAAGTAATATACTTACAGAACAACCGTATTGATCGACACAATGTACTCCAGTTCTTTGGTCCATGGATTTATAAAACTAAACCACTGACTTTTTAATGTAACAAAAGAGCCATCTTTTGCTTTGAATTTGTAGGAATTTGTAAATATTTTTTCTTTGCTCTGCAGTACTAGGAGAAAAACATGGTACTTAAGTTATAAACAAAGCCATAGTTAATTTCTGTGTTAATTAAACTAGTTTTTGTTTACATGGCAGCTATTTATTTTAAATCTTTTTATTCATCCTGAGTCATTCCTATGCAGTACTCCCAGGAAAGGGAACAGTGGCTGAGAAACTGTCAAAGAAACCTATCACATAATTTACTTCTGCTAATGAAGCAGACCTTATACAGCAGCCATTGCCATTCATCCAGTCAGAGAAACATCATGGTGGACTATACGGACTATACAGATCACCTGTCGGGTTGCGAGGTTCTGTGTAGCAATTCTTCGATTGCGGAAGTTAAATACCAATTAGATTGCCGTTCCCAGTTGTATGTATGCCAACATGTTCTAATGGAATACTGAAAGTTAGAAATTTTAAGGTTTTATAAGGTTTTATACTTATGTGACTGGTCTAAGGACTGTAAATAAACTATTGAACCATTTCACTATAAATCTAATCATAATCACCACGGACTCTATTATCTGTGTCTGCTCTGCCTATGAAGTTCTAGTTTTGTAATCATGACTGAGCAAGAGCATATTTTCAAGACAGGACTACCAGATTTTTCCAGGTACACAAAAGCAATCCTCACTTTACTGAATTCCTAACCTTTATAGTTCACAGTTGTGATTTTATTTCCTAAAGCTTCTGCACAGGTGTTTAATCTTTCCTTTCTACCATTTCTTTGCAATTCTAAACTGAATACTCAAGGGGCATGAGGCTAATCTCATATCTCTAAGGGAGAGCTGAACTGTAGAGACTGGGGTCAAGGAGAGGGTGGAACTGGAACATTCTAGGCTTCCCTGTCTGTTCTGCATGGCTATATGGAGCGGTCACTTGCAGACCTTTGTGATGGCTTTCTTGTAAGTGCCATTTGGGTTCTGCTACTGAATCTTCCAGTAACAATACGAAACATCTGCAGCATTCATTTAAACAGGTATGTACAGAGGCATTTTTTTAAATAATTAGGAGCATTTAATATTAGAATATTAATTCAACAATAGTATGTATGTATGTATGTATGTATGTATGTATGTATGTATGTATGTATGTATGTATGTATGTATGTATGTATGTATGTATGTATGTATGTATGTATGTATGTATGTATGGCAATAGCTGCTTTGCTTTACCTGCTTTATGTTTATCAGTTAAATGACTATGATCATCTTGGTGGAAGTATTCATAGCAAGACGTTCCTAGTAGCTCCTGAGGCAAGTATCCTAAAATTGCAGTTGCCCTATAAGGAGACAAAAACACGATGTTTTACTACAGAGAATGCATAGTACGAGAAAGAGATGCTGGATGTCTGAATTGAAGCAAAACTAAAATTACAGTTTAACACTTAAAGCCAGAATAAAAGACCAAAACAGTGACACACAATTTCTTTGCTTTATCTAGTCTGATGAAAGATCAGCCACCCCAGGTCTAAATCTATTTTTATACCTCTAAGGTTCAGACACATGTATTTCACTTAGAGTTGTAATGTTAGCAAACTGGTGAACATTAGTGAACATTTCACCAAGTAATTTTTAACTAGGGAACTCTAGCATATTTTACAGACTACTGATAATTTTATCAAAATTGAAAAGTGCAGCCAAATTAAGGCTAAAAACTATTCTTTAAAATTAAAAAACAAAAAAGAATTCTTACCGTTGGTCTACAAAAACAAATTTCCCATCCATGGCGAAGCGTGTGACAAATTCTGTTGGCTTCACTTTTATTTCACTGCTTTTTTGTGGAACAGTGTAAGGATGCAGTCTCCCAATGGCAACAAGACAATTAAAGTTACTGCTGTTTTTCTCCGCATCATTCTCCTCTTCAACCCCCACCTCGCTAGAAGGCCAGCTCTTCAGATACCCAGTGCAATGAACAGTACAGTACTTTTTATGATCTAATTTAGCCAAAATACAAAACAATTTTTCATTTTCTTCTCTAAAAACATAAGATGTTATCATGTTCTGTGTTTATGTGTAAGGCATGAGCCTTACAAATCTACACATAAGATTGTACAGTTAATTCATCAGGACTTCTTTTATAACCACTATTCATACTCAGTTTACTTGTGGAAGTGCACTTCTAAACTTACAAAAGATTTTGGGAGGCAAGTCACAGTTGCAGGCAATTAACATGTATTCTCACATATAAAAAGAAAATTGAACAGTTTAGTAAGAGAGACTGCTTTTCTGTATGATACTGCTTTGATTTCAAACATGTGTCTGTCAATTATGGGTTTTAATAGAAATGTGGCAGGAGCCAAATGCAAATAAAATAAATCTGAATGGAGTGGAAAGGTGTTGCTTATAAAATAGAAAAGTCTTTTAAAGATGTGACTCAGAGAAGTGCATTAAGACTGACAGTAGTTTTTAAAACAATCACAGCTGGAGATTCAAGTTTACATTATACAACCAAAACATGGCCAGTTTGATTTCAGTATACAAAAACCTGATAAGAGATGATGACAGTAGCTCAATTATTGAATTTTGTGCTAGTATTTGCGATAAAAAAATAAACAATGATGTTTACATTATGTGAACAGATAACATAACAAAGAAAAAAAACTGGAGTGTCATTTATTTTGTCGTTTGAGTTACGTTTACCTATAATGTTACAGTATTTTTCGCTCCATAAGACGCACCTCTCCATAAGATGCACCAAATTTTTAGGAGAAGAAAACAGGAAAAAAATCTGGGAATTTCGGCCTGCTGGGCCAGTGAGGGAGATGGTGGGGGAAGTATGAACTCATAAAATATTCTGTAGTATTTATGACTTGAACATTTTAAATGTAAAAGTATGTAACAATCAAACAGGATATACTGCCTAAATATGGTTTAAAGGAAGTTACTTCAAGTGTGGGGCCTTTTCCTGACCAAGCAATCTTGGCAGGTAGCTAAGTTGACTACAACTGTCTGGAGAAGCTGGTATTGCTAAAGCTCTGTGTCATGATGTTTTCACTAACTCAAAACATCAAAAGTATTTAAATAGAGATTTCTATCATGTTTACAGATCATCTCCCAGAGCTCATCTCCCAAGAACCACAACCACCTGCTTTTTACAAACAAGTGGGAAAATGATGATGGACTGAGTGCAGTCAGGAGATAGCCATAGAAATAACATAGATATAGGATGGGGTGAGCTTTTCTCTTTCAAGATAAATATTTTTCTGTCTGTTAATAACATGCATAGAGTTAAACAATGCTTCTGATTTTTGTATGTTATTACTTTTAAAAGTTTAAATATTTTTTCATGCCTGTAGTTAAAAACTATAAGGCGTTTTGCTTTTTATGATTTTATTCTTAATAACCTGAAATGTCATAGAGGTGTATTCTCTGCCTTTATAGGCTGTGAGCTTCTATGTTTTAACATTTTTGTATTTTTGATTCAAACATAACTAAAGTTCTTGTCTAGAACCTGCATAGTTATAAGATTACAACTGAAATGTAATTTCTGACTTAAATATTTGTTCAAAGTTTAAGTTCAGTTTTTAAGGATTTTTAAGGATTTTTAGCCTGCAGTTTTGCATTAAGTATATGTGCCTACAGTTTTTCTTCATGACTGTAAAACTGCCTTGGATAATTTTTGTCTTTGCTACTTTTAAGCATAGAACCTAGAAATGATATAAATAAATAGAACTTGTATAGAATTAACATATTCTGGAATGATCTGGAATTATTGCAACAATGAAGAAATTTATAACGAAATACCCAGGTCAGTTCACAAACAATTTGCGACTGATTATTTGATTTCATTCTGATATTAACTCTTTATTGGGATGTTAACTATGATGAATCATAGAATCTGTTCTGTTTGCCCAGGAGGTCTGTAAATCTTATAGGACTCCTGAGGAGTCAGTTGTCCAAATCAGGATCTGACACTACAATTCATATTGTGCTAAGTAAAATGCAGGTGAAGATTTAAACTCACTTAAATTTAAAATTAATTTAAATTAATTTAATATCTAGTGGCCACAATCTTGTTCATTATACCTACTAGCACAAATATCAGTTGCAATTTGCCATAAATTAAGAAATATATGTGATAAGAAATTTCAGAAGTCACTGTAACTGTTTGTGATAACAAATAGTTATACTGATTTCTTAAATGCAGTCTGCTACTGAAATTTACAGACTGAGTTATGATGTGTAAATATGTAATAAGACTTTAGCCTACCAGTTTAAAGACTATACTTATATGTATTCATCTGATCATCCTTATATAACAGACTGTAACTGAACTGTACTTTTTCAAACTACAGTTAAAGGACAGGAAAATCCAATGCTTTCCCATGAAAATCATACCATGTGCACAGAAAAGAAAAATAGTATCAACACTATTTCACTTTCTTTATGATGCATTAGCTACAGGGAAGAGAGGTGTTCTATCCCAGAAAGGGGGCACTGAAACTCCACACCAGCAGTTGCACATAGAAGTATATAATGTCCATCGCAGGTTACAAGCCATGATGGGAATGTATAGTCTCCAGGCTTCAAAGGAAGATACCTCCAAATGCCAGATGCAGGGGAGGGGTATCAGGAGACAGGTACCTAGTTGCCTCATGTGCCCCCAGAGGCATCTGGTGGGGCCACTGTGAGATACAGGATGGACCCTTGGCCTGATCCAGCAGGGTTCTTCTGTAAGGCTACTAATTCTGTATCTTGGTTGCAAGGCCTTGCCTATTTATCAATATAGTTGCCAGAATCCTATTCATAAAAGTTTGCATAAATGTGGCTAATTGACAAGCTGCTGGGGCACTCTGCACCTGCACAATCAGCTGCATGACCAGGCACATGACTGTGACATGTCCAAGCATCATTTAGCTGCAGCAAGCTACATAAATCTTACAGGAACACCCAACAAGATACTCAATATTTGTGTTGGAGTATATTAGTTCAATCTTAACTATTGCTGGGTAGTATCAGTGCCAGAATGCTGCTTCAGCAATTTGTTTGCACTGTTTGCTTGCACTGTTTCAGTTAAAGTGACAGATAGGTATAAGTTTGGGATCACCCATCATTTACCTGTCATAAGACATTCTAAGGTTCATTGGGGAAATGGGAAAGAATTTTGCTACTCCTTTCAGTCTGTTATTTTTCTTTTTCCACATTTCCACATTATGCATTTCAAAGTACATGAACATACAGACAGAAACTCTAAAAGACGTGTTAACAAATCCTCAATAAATAATAATGGTACATCAGGAGGGAAAAAAGATGCATCTCTCACCATAAAAAGCTCTGAAACCTCTATAATGTACAGAAAGCTCCAAAGTAAATTATTACTACAGGTTGCATTCATAAAAGAGATATGTGATGCATCAGAAAATTCTAAAACAAGATACACCTGGGGATCTCACTGTCTTGTGGAAATTACTAATGATTCATCTATTTGTAAAATATTACAAAACTTACTGACAGACAAACCTTAAAGTACAATTTGTCATGTTTTTTGTAGAATGATATGCATCTGTAGGTCCAGATTAAGCATGATTCCTTGAATGCATGGCCCAGTTCTAAATGATACATATACATCGTGAACTATAACACTACATAAACATCCACATTAGCAGAATCTTGGGCAATCCAAATGCTACGCTTACATTGATACAAAATAATATTTTAATACTGTATTTGATCAACATTGCTTCTGGCAAGCATTTGTTTTTCAATAAAATAGATATTTGTAACATGTCAGAACCGCTCCACTATAAATTTTAGATTACAAAATGTAATAGTTTAAGATTACAAATGCTCTTTTCTTTGTTTAATGCTGTATTTTGAACGCTGAAAGTTCATATTTTTAATACTAGTAAAATAAAAAAAATTATTATATCCTGAAATATAATAGGCACACTAAATACTGCATATCCATACAAAAACCCATCATTAGCATACTATTAGGACTCCAAATTGATGTGAACATGGAAACAAAAGTAAAGAGCAGACCATACACATTTGACTGGGCTCCAGAGCTTTGCCCATTCCATAAGCAATTTTTGGCAACCTAGTATGTTCATAATCCTTTGGGACCAGGAATCACAACTTGCTCTTTTCATTTGTACTGTGAGAAAAGTTCTTTATACAAGTATGATAAACCTATTTAACGCCTTTCAATAAGCTGTTCCAAATTCAAGCAATCTACTATTCCCATACAATATATGACAGTTTTAAATCAATCACATTTATAAATTTCTACTCCGAAATAATCCAGACACAGGTTAGTGGGACTTACTCCCAGGTGACTGTGCATATAGTTGCAGCCTGACACGATATTATATTTATTTTTTACATTACCACTGAACACAAAGTGCTTGAAATAGAATTTTCTTCATTTAATTAAACAATACCTTTCTTTGCTGAGTTCGGCAAGGACTCTTCTTCTTTGACAACATTTCTTACACACTTTATTCGACAAAAAAATGAACGTCGAGCACCAGAATGCAAACGAGATGTTCCTGCTTGAAAATCCGTGTGTACTTCCAAACCAGCTTTTAAAGTTTAACAAGAGCAGAATACACAAAAAAGAAACCTTGTAATGTGAGTACGACAAATATTTTGCATTAACATTTTCTTTCCAGCATACTGTCAGCTTGCTTCTGCAACTTAAGCTCATGTGACTATTTAGAAAGCTTTGATTAATTAAAAGTGGAACTGGAGTATTCGTTTATTTATTTATTTATATCCTGCCTATCTGGTCAATATGACCACTCTAGGCGGCTTACAAAATCATAATACAGTAATAAAATAATAATAATATTTTTTAAAGAAAGAGATTATGACTCACAGGGAGTACTAATGTGAAATTTTATAACTTCACTGTTATAAATAATACAATTTTCTAAATGCAACTTAATTTTGCTGCTAATTTGGTAGTACAGAGAAATGTTCTGCTGATATTCACATGAAACCAGTTGCAAATCATATGTCTTTATGAGAGAACATGTAGTTACATTAGGATTGGCACTTAACATTTTCAAACTAGAGTGGTTCTTGGCACCAAGGCATTTCATCTCATGCTTAACTGCCACAGGTCTTGTCTATTGACAAGCACTAATGAACAGAAGAAAAATAAACTAGTATGCCAAGTAAAAATGACAAACAAGACTTGACATATATCTAACAGCTTAATATTTATATATACTGGTGCCTCGACTTACAAACATCCCGACATACGACCATTTCGAGTTACAACCAGCTCTGGCCGCAAAATTTTGCTTTGATTGGCAGCTGGAGCTTTGAGTTGCGATTGGAAAAAGGCAGGGGAAAAGGGCGGGGAATTCAAATTAGCTAACTGTTGGTAGGTGAAGAGGCTGCTTCTTTGTAGCTCTTTTGCCCCAATGGTTAGAGTGAGTGCGATTGGAGGAGACTTTGGACTGCCTGATAAGGTAAGGTGCTGCTTTCTGCTTTTTAAAAACTGTTCTGGGTGGGTTTTGCAGGGTGGGTTTGGGCTGGGGGGGGTTATGTTCCTGTGCTTTGTTGTTGTTTTGTTTTTGGTGATTTTTTTTTGCAGCCCCAGTGCCTTGCGACGGGGCTTGCTCCTTTGTTTATTTTTGGTTTGTTTTTTTAAAGCCCCAGGGCCTTCGGGGCTTGCTTCATTGTTTGTTTTTGTTTTCACTGTTCTGGGTGGGTTTTGCAGGGTGGGTTTGGGCTGGGGGGGGTTATGTTCCTGTGCTTTGTTGTTGTTTTGTTTTTGGTGATTTTTTTTTGCAGCCCCAGTGCCTTGCGACGGGGCTTGCTCCTTTGTTTATTTTTGGTTTGTTTTTTTAAAGCCCCAGGGCCTTCGGGGCTTGCGTCATTGTTTGTTTTTGTTTTTTGCAGCCCCAGCACCTTGCAGTGGGGCTTGTTCCTTTGTTTATTCTTACTTTGTTTGTTTTTTAAAGTTCCAGCACCTTTGGGGCTTGCTCCATTATTTTTGGTTTTGTTCTTTTTGCAGCCCCAGTGCGTTCCTATGGGGCTTGCAGTGTTTTATTTTCATTTTATTTTAGGGGGAGGTATTTTTTTCTGGAATGGATTAATCGCTTTCCAATGCATTTCAATGGGAAATAGTGCTTCGACTTATGACCATTTCGAGTTACGTCCATCTTCTGGAACAGATTATGATCATAAGTCAAGGCACCACTGTAGTCTAAAATTTGTTCCTTTAGTATTCCTTTCAATTCTGTCAAGGTACTCTCATAAGTACAAGCAACCATCCATAGTTTGCTTAGAACAAATCAGGGGTGTGGGGACATGTTTCCATGTACTCAAACATAAACAAGGACAGTTAAACCTGAGCATTCAAACATTTTAGAGGCATGCTTACTTTTTGCATCTATCAGTTTTTCTCTTGGTGAAGCATCTGAAGATGACAGTTGTTCCTTCACTTTGGCAACATCCTTTGGATGAAGATAGTCGAAAAGACTTTGCCCTATTAGACTTACCTAATGGAACAACATTAGGAACTGATAAGCTGCACACCACACATCTCATTCACACACAGAGAACACAACTAATTTAAAAGCTATAATTCAATGGCCAGTATCTTGCTGCACAACTCTATCTACGCAACAGAAATGACATCATCATCATCAGTGGCAGATTGCCACTAATTAAAGATTTTCTTTTTCAATTTTGGAGTGCATTTGACTTTGTCTCATCGGGCAAAAGTCACCCCCCCAGATTTAAAAAAAAAGAAACTATTTAATTAACAGCAGTCTGCAACTAATGATGATGTATTTTCCATCGTGCAGGCAGAGGTGCACAGCAGGCTGCTGGGAACTGAGTTGTAAAATTACTTCAGCATACTTATATTTTCAATGAAGTTGCGCTACACACTTTTAGAATAAGCACACATCAGACATTTCTTTATGATATATTACATCATGTAACAAAGAACTGAGTAGAAATTAAGCATGTAGGTAATGCAAACAATGATCATATAATTACAAATAGCGGTTATGGTTCTTTGAGAGAAACCTGCATAGGTGAGAAACCTCCACATCTACTACTAAAGGGGAAATACCACATGTGCTTGGAAAGGGTAACTTAGAAGGTTATGCTAAAAAATAGCAAGGTGCAGGACCGGCACTGGCAGGAAGATTTTTTAAAAATGAGGATAATACTTAAAGGAATACTTACTCCAAATATTTGAAGGGAAAATATCCATCTGCAGTGCCTGACTAAAACCCCTGCAATGACACTATTAAGTTCTAACAGTGGCAAAATTAAAGAGGGAAAAGGTGGGGGAACAGAATATTTTGGTACTGTAAAAGCTAACTTATTTATTTCAGTGCTAATTTTTGTGGATCAAAAACCACTTCTTAAGAATTCATATAGAAACAAATCTGTTAGTCTTTAAAGGGCCACAGTATCTCCCCCCAGCCCCATTTAATTTTGATAACACGCTGAGGTGGAGCTTTGTCACGGTGCTGTCAGCAGCTTCTGGGAATAGCTCCCAGGAAAAGCTGGAACCACCTGGTCTGGGGTCCCTCTAGAAATGACTCTGAAGCAGTTGGTGAGCAACAGAAGGAGGAAGATTTGGCAGCAACCTAATATTTCTTCCCTCTGAAAACTCACCCGAGCACAGATCAGATGCAGGAGCCATTTTGGCAGACAACTGTGAGCAACTCCACCCCCACCCCCGGAGGAGAGGAGAACAAACAATATGGCATTGAAAATATATAACAAAGTAAGTTGAAGCCTTTGATTTATGAACAACCCCATTAAGCTGAAAAAGAAATTAGAGTGAAAATACTTGATCAAAAGAAGATAAAGAGTGGTGAGTTTTGCTTACCAGCCTGTTTCTTCAAAAACTAAACTGATTCTCAAACAGCAGGCTGGTTCAAGGCCGAAAGAGAGACAGTGAGATGGAAAAATCTTTTGTTTCTGGAAAAACTCCCAGAGTGAAATACCAATGAACAGGCTTTAAGAGACAGAAATTTTGTGAATACTGTTTAGCCTGGACCTTTCTCTCTAGACTCCGTGGGACTCTGATAACAGAATTTTGCTGGGTTTTTGAAGAAGGAGGAATAAGCTTTTGGAAGAAAGAAATTGGACTGTGAATTATCAGCGAGACAATGCAAACAACTAGACTGAGGAGCTAGGAAAACCAGGATGGGAGTTTTCTTCTTTTATTGAATCTTTGGATTAATGGAAATAACATCAGACAGATTATAAGGATTTCTACTGGAGAGACTGACTCCCTGTGTCTGCTGTTAGTCTGGATTTTTCTTGGCTGGACTGCGTGAAGTCTGGATTTTTCTTGGCTGGACTGTGTGAGACTCTCATAATATTGTCACGGGTGTAATTTAAATTGTTGGGCTAAAAGTTGATTTATATACTATAATATCTGTGTAAGGATGGGAGGAAGAACCTAGGGGAGGTTTATGATTGTAGGTTGGGTTTGTTGATAAAACAGTGGAAGTTTCGAAAAGATATTTGAGGGTTGGCCACTTTGGTCAAGGACACAGTACTATTTATACAGACCCTACTTATCAGAAAGATTGAAATGCCGCCCCCACCCAAATTAAAATATCAAATGTTGGGGACTTTGTCTACCCAATCTCAAAATTTGGGAATAGTGGCACAAAAATCAGATGAAGAGTGGTAGGCTACCATGCAAAAGATAATAATAACAGGATTTCAGCAAGTAAATGAGTGTCTCAGCCAGATAGAAGATCTGATGAAAGAGAAGTTATCAGATGGTAAACAACAGTTAAATGAAATTGTACCAACTCCAGAACTGCTTTTATTGAGTAAGATACCAGGTAACATAGAGGGGTTAAAGAGTTACCCAGTGAGCTATTTAGCCACTACAGTCAGAAAATGTTACGTTAAAGATTGGATTACTGTCTTGGATCCATCCTTCTCTTCCAAAAACTGGAAGAAAGCAGAGCTACGGAAACAAGAGGAGCATACTGAGAACATATGGGACGCGACAGAAAGGGATACCCTTTCAGGCATGCTGAATGACTGTCCAAATCAAAAGGAAATTGAACGATGGGATTATTTTACAAATGGTCTCAGTTTCCTCACAATGTTGGAGTAACTGAGATGTAAACTAAAATAAAATTGTAGGTTGATAACTGGAGGGTAATCAAATAGTTTTTTTAAAAAAAGCAGAAAGTTGATTTGTTATTGAAATATGAAAAGTTTGGATGATTGTATATTCTGTGTTCTCCTATCCTCAAACTTTTTCCCTTTCCCTCACTTCCTTTTACCTTTTGTATTCCCTACCCTATTCCTAGAAGTTAAAAAATAAATATTTTTTTAAAATTGACAACACGCTGAGGCAGACTAATTCTTTGGAAACTACATCAAGTCCTTTATTCTGAAGCACTATTCTTGTATAACGTTTTATGTTCTTTGCTAAAGTAGTAAGTCTTGCAATCGGCTGGTATGAACTTTGATACACACCCTCCCTGTCTGGTAAAAGATGTTGTACACAGAAACACAAGCAGCCTGGAAGCTCAGTGATTCCACAAGGGTATTATGAGTAGGGATTTGTTCACAATAAGCTGCAAATGACCATCTAGACCAGTTTTTCCCAATCTGTTGCCGTCTAGATGTTTTGCATGACAGGAACAAGACAGAAAACTGATGGTCAAGGATTATAGAAGTTGCAGTCCAAAACACCCAGAGGGCACCAAGTTCAGGTGATCTAGCCTTACGCACATTAGCACTGGTGAGATGAGTCTGCACTTTGCAACACACACTAAAGACCCAAATCCATTGACTTTAAAAAGTGGGGAAGGGCATTATGACACATAGTGGCAGAGGTGATATACCGTACTTTGGCTTCCCTCTGTTCTGATATGTACACCAGCCTGAAATATTTTCACAGATAAGAAGACATTTTCCCTCCTATACTGCAACTACAACTTAGCTCTAAGAAATTTCATTTTCTAAGGAAGAAAAAAATGATGTAGGCATTCTTTAAAAACTTTTCAAATGCACAGAACTTTACTGCACATTTCTTTGTTGGAAGAATTTTAAATTAAATTCTGTAACAAAGTGTTACCTACTGGGTCATAATTAAGTATTGTGGAAACAGATTCTGAAACAAACAAGATTTTTCCTCTGTCACATCCAACCACAAATAGGAACCCATCTGCAGCCTGTAAATTAAGAAAAATAAATTGAGAACAAAGTAATAATAATTAGGTAATGAGCTGCAATTTGCTGCCAAAACGTAGAGAAGTTCCCATACACAAGCACTATCAGCAAAAGGATTCTGGACGTTGATTTCTCCCCCAATTTGAGGAAAGGGTCTTCTAGCCAATGAAAGGAACTCGTTTGAAGCTAAAACAGAATGTTTGGATCTCTTCCCACATGAATGTTTGAATTTCATAAGACATTAAGATAAGCAACCAAAACAAAACAAAACACTGCCTTGATGTGGTGGCACTTGAGATAAAGAAAACTCTCCCCATATTTTACTTAGGGCCTTCTTTGAATGTACTTTAACCCTTCCCAAACAGCTTTCAAAAACCCTGTCCAAGTTGTTAATGAAAGGACAGTTGTTTATGGAGCAAAGCAAAGACTTTAATCTTCTATAAATATCATAGAACGTTCAAAATTATCCAGAATGATAATTTAGAGTCAAGTGAAATTTACCATGTGTTTCCTATATCATGTATGCCAAAACATAACAGTATGCTTTTGTTTTATGTATATAATACTGCTGTTGGTCAGTTCTTTAGGAAGGTAGTATATTAAGTGGTAACCTTAAGATCACTTGCAGATGAGCTGTAGTCTGATAAAACGCAGCAGAGTCTAAACTTAAATGAAGGCTACCAATTTGACTCCCAGTTTGCTGTTTCCAAAAAAGTTAGAAATCATAAACCAACTTCAACCCTGGCTTCAAGTTCTGGCTTGTTTGGGAAGCAATAAACCAGGAGTTCAGCTACATTAAGCTTTTTCCTCCTAGTAACTAAAGCTGTCCTTTGCTGGCAAAAGGAAACAAGAGAATGGGATCACACCACATGGATTAGCATGCTTCTTATGTAGAATAAATCAGGATTCTCCAGAGTAGAGATGGGCACAATATAAGTCAAGTAGAGTAAAACTGCGAACAAAGAGATTATATCACAAGAAAAAGGAAGACCACGTATTGACATCAGCAAGTCCGGCGATCAAAGAAAAGTGGAGGAATTTGCCCAAGCGCTTGAGGAAACCCTTCCAGGCTTGGCTGATGCAAATGCACCTGAATGATGGGAACATTTCAAGAAAGCTGTTTACAATACCACCTTATCCACATTTGGCAAGAAGACCAAAAAGACGGCCGACTGGTTCGAAGCCCATTCGGAGGAGTTGATGCCAGCCATCGAGGATAAGAGGAGAGATCTAGCAGCATACTAAGTCTGTCCTAGCGAGTACAACTTGCAAGCTCTTCGAGCTGCTCGTAGCCAAGTCCAACAGGCTGCCAGGAGATGCTCCAATGATTATTGGCTCCAGCTCTGCTCTCAGATACAGATAGTAGCAGACACAGATAACATCAAGGGAATGTATGATGGTATCAAGCAGGCTTTAGGTCCAATATAGAAGAAATCTGTTCCCGTGAAGTCTGCTACAGGCGTGATCATCCAGGAATTAGCACAGCAGATGGACCGCTGGGTGCAGCACTACTCTGAGCAATATTCCAGAGAGAATATAGTAACTGAAGAGGCATTAAATATCATTGAGTGCCTGCCTGTCTTGGAAGAGTTGAACAGTGAACCAACTTTAGCAGGAATAAAAGCGGCCTTGGATTCTCTCGCTTCCGGCAAGGCACCTGGGAAGGATAACATCCCTGTTGAAATGCTGAAGTGCTGTAAAGAGATCATCACCACCGAGCTGTATGAAATCTTTTGTCTTTGCTGGAGGGAAAGTGGAATACCACAGGACATGAAGGATGCAAACATCTTCAAATTGTATAAGGAGACAGAGGCAACTGCAATAACTACAGTGGCATCTCTGTTCTCAGCGTTGTAGGGAAGCTGCTTGCCCGTGTTCTGCTGAAGAGACTCCAGGTGCTTGCAGACAGAGTCTATCTAGAATCACAGTGTGGATTTCAAGCTAACAGATCCACCACTGACATGGTATTCTCCCTCAGACAGTTGCAGAAGAAATGTAGGGAACAGCCACTCTTTGTGGCCTTCATAGATTTCACAAAGGCCTTTGATTTGGTTAGCAGGGACGGCCTTCTTAAAATACTTCCCAAGATTGGATGTTGACTCCTTAACATCATCAGGTCCTTTCATGAGGAAATTAAGGGCAGTATAGTTTTTGATGGCTCAACATCAGATCCCTTTGACATCCAAAGTGGAGTGAAACAGGGCTGTGTCCTCCCGCCAACCCTGTTTGGGATCTTTTTTGTTGTCATGCTGAAGCACGCCTTTGGAACTGCAGCAGAAGGTGTCTATCTCTGGACTAGATCAGATGGAAAGCTCTTTAATCTCTCTAGACTGAGAGCAAAGCCCAAAGCCCAACTGAAATGCATGTGGGACTTCCTCTTTGCTGATGATGCAGCCATTATTGCCCACTCTGCTGAAGACCTCCAACATCACATGAATTGTTTTAGCAAAACCTGCCAAGACTTTGGACTAACAATCAGCCTGAAGAAAACACAAGTCATAGCCCAGGGCGTGGACTCACCTCCCTTTATTACCATCTCCACCCAAGAATTGGAGGTTGTTCATTACTTTGTGTACCTTGGCTCAACTATCTCTGACACTCTCTCCCTAGATGTTGATCTGGATAAATGCAATGGTAAAGCAGCTACCATCTTCTCTAGACTCACCAAGAGAGTACAGTGGTGCCTCAACTTACGAACATCCGTACTTAACGACCATTTCAAGTTACGACCAGCTCCAGCCACAACATTTTGCTTCTACTTGTGACCGCAGCTTCCACTTACAAACAGAAAAAGGCAGGGAAAAAGGCGGGAAATTCAAGTTGCTAACTGTAGGTGACAACGAGGCTGTTTCTTTGTCCCAGAAGTTAGAGTGTGTGCATGGGAGGAGGCTTGGGACTGCCTCCTTCAGCTTCTGAGAGAGTGTATGTGTGTTTGCAGGGAAGCTTCAGGCTGCCTGGTAAGGTAAGGTGCTGTTTTCTGCTTTTTAAAAAATGTTCTGGGTGTTTTTGCAGCGTGGTTTTGAACTAGGGGGTTATGTTCCTGTGCTGTGATGGGACTTGGGAGCTTTGTTGGTTGGTTGGGTTTTTCCTCCCATTTCCGATGGGTCTTGGGGGGGTTTGTTGCTTTTTGGAGTGTTTTTCCCCATTTCCGATGGGTCTTGGGGGGTTTGTTTTTTGGTTTCCCCCCATTTCCGATGGGTCTTGGGGGGTTTG